GGATTACAAGAAGCAGGTATTTGCACTAATTTTTATATTCAACGTAATCCGGAGGCTAACATCAACATTAAAATTGAAAGCAAACTTAGATGACTAACAAGAGAAGTTAAAAATACCACATACAATGGTAATACAAGACGATCACTAATGTGGACTGTACAGGAATATTGAAATGAAAACATGCAGTAACAACATTGCTACAGTGACAGTAGATGCATAACACGATGACAAGATATGTGAGATGGTTCCACAAAATGATTTGAATGAACATGGGTGCAAGCTAATAACAAATGCAAAAATTACAATGTTAACAAAACAATAACGATGACAGGACTGTATAATCTAAATAATAATATAAACGTAATCTGACATGAATGAATGTCTTTGGTTTTGTAATTGTTACTCAGGATGAGAAGTTTACAGAACTCACAGCATCAAGTATCTTAAGTAGGAAAAATTATAATAATTTATGGAAGAGAACCTAGATCTACGCTTCGAGCTAGATTTCTTTTAGCCAACTGATTTCAGTTTTAACTTACCAGTGACGAATAAAAACGCCGCTCAAAACCCCATTAACTCACAGCATCTTAAATCGCATCAGCAAAAGACGAACAAGAAAACTGTTCATAAACACCACATCAGTTTGTGTCCTGTCACTAGCAAATTAATAGTTGTACACTAGAAATACTCAATAGTAGCCTATTTATCCACCCCAGTGTATAAAGTTTACACCTGTGCACACCATGACAAAATTCACACGCACACTCATAAATAATTATTTCAGACGAGCTGCAAAGACTATTTGTTGTAGCCGAGTATTTGTTGTATTTGTATAACTACTATAACCTAGTAGGTATATAGTAGTAGGTTATAGTAGTATGTTTTCTGTGGTTTAAGTGTCAAACGCCGATAAAATTGTTTTCTACATCACAAATTACAGCAATACTAACTTATTTTCAAACATGGTATTGATAAAACTTGAGTGACACAGAAAAGAGAATTGTAAATAAGATCCTCTATAAACCTACCAATTCCCCCTCGCGTCAATAATTAATTTAGGTGGATAAATCAAAGTGTTTATCAGCTGTATACGAGAGTTTACGTGTACACCAGACGTTTTCAACAACAAAATCCAAATCCCGGATGCCAACTAAACTATCCGGTTTGTAGACGGACCACAGTAATTAGTAGATAAGACACGGAATCGGGAATCAAGTAGCGTGAATCCGGAATCGAGCTGGTGGGCGGGACACGACAGAACTTACTATAGTGTGTAAAGTGAACAGTGTGTATTGCATAACACATCTGGCTAAGGCACATAGGTGAAGGTAACCTAACCTACTTATGAACCGCACAAGCAATAGGTACAAGCGTTGTAGGTCAACTCTCGTACAAGTGCATATATTTTAGTTACACTCAATATGCAGAATTAAAATTTTTACAAAGTACTACCTGTCATTGTAGTTTTTCACATAATTATAACTTTTAAGCGTGTCAACACTAAATGGATTTATTGTAAAAATTGTGTAAACCGTGTGAATAAAATAAACTACTTAAATCCAAGTGTTTGAGAGTTCTTTCATAATATATTTTCCCCAGATATAACTTACTTTACAACACTTCCAACATTCAGTGAGGTTTTAGGAAAATAATCGAAATTGCACCTTGCCATGTCCTCCCTCCGTATAATTAGGATATACTAAGTTTTTAAAAAGATAATACATTAAAATTATAACCTGGAAATTAAAATAATTTTTGACAAGTAACCTTTGTTACTATGATTTGCACAAACCTACTAAACCAATATATTTCAAAGTTATATTTCTTTAATTTATTGCCTCCTTCTTCATTTTTTAACCTAAATTAGGGATTTTTGATTTTTTTTCTATGAGGCTTCTATTTGTTAGTATCAGCTTATTTCTACTTTAAACCCTCACAAATTCTGTTTTTTCGGGATTTCCAAACTGACTTTTAACTTCATAGGCCCCAAATCTTAATAGATACCTGAATCCATTATTTATTTTATCTGCTCTAACTTTAAATAATTATTTTACTGTGGGAAAAAGTTGCTGTGTTTTCTTTCCCATAGTAGTGTAACTCGCCAAAAAAATTCTTTTGAAAAACTTAATATAACTCTAAATTAATTTAAAACTATTAATGAAAATTTTGAATAACTTACATATAATTCCCGTAATCCTTAGACAAGAAATAATCCCAAAAAGGTCAAATAGGTAACACAACACACACAAATCGCTAAAAATGCACAACAAACTTTCAAATTCCGAACCGACAACGATTCACTACACACGCTCTGTTGGGAACGTAACGGACCAACTGACTAACCTAACAAACGAGTTGCGCGCCCCGGCGCTGCCAACCTCGCCGCACAAATTGTGGCGACTCGTGCAATAATGGCAGTGATGCAACGGTGCCATAACAACGCTAAATATCCCACACGATCTCGTCACGTGTTATTCGTAAACAATTTGTCTATGATTTTTTTCGATTTTTAAGGTTCCATTTTCCAAATTCAAAACTGATTTGATTTATTATACAAGTAGTTTCTGACCAATTGAAAATGTAAAAAAAATGCTGATTGTCTAATAGCATAGACGGAATGTCTATTTACAGGTTCGAGGTTCTAAAGTGAATGGTACGCCTTTTTCACTTAAACGACTTGTTTACTTGCAGTATCCAAACTTCACGTAACTTTGATTCATGTAAATGAATTATCACAGATTGCAGTATCCAAACTTCACACAAATTTGTTTCACGTTAATGAATTATCTACTTGCAATATCCTAAATCAATGGTACACTTGCTTCACTTAAATGAGAAATTTACTTGCAGTATCCAATTGGTTCACATAAATAAGATGCCTGTTTGCAGTATCCAAAGTCATGGTGGGCTTACTTCTGGTTCACTTAAATATAAATATAATGTCTATTTGCAGTATCAAAGTCAATTATACGTCGGGTTCACGTAAAGGAATTGTTTACTCGCAGTATCTAAACTCAATAGTACATTTGGTTCACGTAAATGAATTTTCTACTTGCAGGATTCAAAGCAATGGTTCATTTAATTCACATAAATGGAGTGCCTGTTTGCAGTATCCAAAGTCACTAGTCAGTGCTGGTACGTTTGGTTCACGTCAAAGGAATATCTACTTGCAGAAGTATCCAAAATCTGTCTTTCTTTTGCTCACATTAATGGAATTCCTAATTGCAGTGCCTGTTCCAAGTCTGCATTATTGAATCTAGTTCACATAAATGAAAAGTCTACTTGCAGTATCCAAACTCAATGGTAGGTCTATATTTGGTTCACATAAATGGAATGGTTATTTGGAATAGGTATTTAAAATCAATGGTTAACTGAAGTTTGAAGCAGAGCTTGAATTACTCCAAATTTATGCGTCTCGTTTATTTTCTGGACAGATTTCAATTCGGTACCTTCCCCTTCTTGTTGTATCAATGTCTACATTTATCTCTATTATTCATAAGATCCATTCTCCTTCAACCAACCTTCCTCTGCCCTCTTATTAGATCTTCTTTTACCAACTTTGCACTCATCTATTTCAACAACTATCCCGTCACCCCCCCCCCCCCCAACAATTCTTCTTCTTCATATTTGTTGTCAACAAAAGCAGACATCTCTACAATACGGATGGTTCTTCTGCTTGTTTCACATGTGTTTGTGTTTGTTCCTCTAATCAAAAAAATCTTTATTTACTATATTAATATAAAAGAGATGTTAATAATCAAGCCAAACTTTGCATTTTAAAAAAACATATTTTCTAATTGCACTTTTTTTCACATCATGTCTACCATTGGCCTTTTTTTACATTGGAATTCCACCGCATTATCTCCATGAATTAGTGTTTTAGTTTTGTCCACACACATCACAATCAAGGTTTATAGGTATTAATTGTCATTCTTGAAGGAAACTAAAAATTTTGCAATAGAACAAAACATATTTTGAGACAAATATCTAAAATTAAAAAAAAAAAAATTACGATTGACTTACATTTTATTTACATTTGATAAAATCATCCGTCCAGTACAGAATTCCATAAACTGACAACCACAATCAATACCAATGTACTACCAAAGTCAAATGACATAAGAACCGCAGACATTAAGAAATTTATTTTTAAATTTTTCAGAATGAAGTTATCAGATTCTCGATTGACTCACATTTTTATTTGACATACAATTATGAAAAATTCAAATGAAGGTTTGATTACCAAAATATAACATGAGAAAAAATATAGCTCATCAGCACCCACCCCTAGTTTTGATCCTCGATAGGACCATGTATCAGATGTACCAGTATGCCAAAAGTGCCTTTTTTACCCTCACATCATCAGTTTTGCCTCGGTCATAAAACTTGATCTTATGGCAAAAAACTTTATCTAAACTTGACAAAGTTCCCCAGGGGACAAAATAATGTGTGTTCAAGTTTCTCTTCTGAATGTTCTATGGCTCTTCTGAATTTTAGATATTTGTCTCAAAATATGTTTTGTTCTATTGCAAAATTTTTAGTTTCCTCTTCATGCACGTTGTTCTACATGCAAGTTCTCTGAATGTTCTACATGTACTTTTTTTCAGGGTAAGCTAGCTGCTATCCTCCTTATTCTAAAATTTATTCAAAACCCTGACCTAGAGCCTACCCTTTAACAAAACGTATGTAAAAAAAATGCCACTTTAGGCTATGCAATATGCTATTATAAAATAAAGTACAGTACATTATAGTTTAGTTTGTGCAATCAATGCTGAATAAGTAACTGTTTTATTGGTCAATTAAATTTTTAAAAAAATTTAAATTAAAAGAAACCCATTCTCTTCCGTGTTTTGAAACTATAAATCAACTAGTTTAGCAAAGAAGTTGTGTTGTTCATAGGGTTATAAAGGTAATTAAATAAGACTATACTACTTGAAAATCTAAATCACTAACACAAAATATTTATTTATAAAATATATACAAGGTGGGCTTCAAAGACAGTAAATGAAGTATCCTGAAAAAAAACAAAGTATTAAAAAAACACTGAAAGAATTCAGTACTGGTTTTTTATGTCTATGATTAAAATGGAAAAAGGGGATTAAAAAACACAAATGCATAAGCATAGATACCTTAATTTGAACTGTTTTCTTTTTGGTTCTGCTTTTAAATTTCTTTTAAAAAGTATAATCATAAAATTTTTTAATGTAAGAAATTATATAAATTTATCTTTTAGTTTTTTTATTCTAAAAATAATTAGAGAACTTAAATTTGTTCCAAACGTTTTTCTTGCCTCAATAGATGACTGCTACTACTAGAAGACAACATTTACAAGTGCTAATACAAATTGATGACAAAAAACATAATTTAAAACATAGGTAATTTAAATTTTGACCATATTCCAAAAGTTACTGACCTTTTTATCATCTTTTATCCTGATCACTGTAATCTCTCAGTTCGTATATCTGAAAAACAAAAACAAATTACGTACACCGTGGAATGTGGAATTATCTTTTTAACTAAGGTTTGAGTCAAGAGATTACCAAGGCACAGAGAAGTAAGGTACAGAGGAAATTTGCTTATGGACGACCGAGCGATTTCAGCTGTAAGATGTGGAGCCGGAAATATACTTGTGACGAGAATTGAAGAGCCTGAGTACTGTGCGGGAATTCCTTCACATAGGCCACAGGGTCTTCATCTACTGTAAACGTTTTAGTAGATGAGGTCGAGGGGGCGGTGATGGACTTTGCCCAGGTGAGAAAACCGCAAAATTGGTAATTTATTTTTATCATCAATCGGTTATATTTAATTGAATGAATAACCAAATCAAATTTAGTCATTTTTCATTGTTTCAAACAACTAATTTTACCTGATGATAAACCTAATAACAGTGTGAGTCAGTATTGAGTAAGTAGGATATCAAATAATATTTCTGATAGGCACGTATATTGAACCGTCGACGTTATTCAAATGTTTCTTACATTACAAGAGTAACATTTCATTGTTATAAACAAATAATCAAATCACTCGGAAAGAAAGAATCAGCAACACAGCCATCTTTGCGTTGCTGAAGCACAGCTTGAGGTTGTGTCAAGAGCAGGAGTTGGCAATTACCCTACTGTGCTGCCAGCTTTCAGCCATTGTGTAGCCTTCAAACTGAACAATTACAGGTTGAAAAAATCACCTCAGTAGTTTAAACTTTTAAAACTATAGTATGGATAATATATTTTAATTTTATTGATACTATTAAGACTGTAACTATGCAAGACTTGACAATATGGGTTTACCTGAATGTAGGCCTCAGTCAGGGTGATCATCTGAGGTAGAATGTCCGTCACATGCAAATCCTGCATCTCGTACCACTTTCCCGTACCCTGGTGAACAAAGGCATTCAAAACTTTCTCATTACACATTGAAAGGCAAATTCTTAAGATACAACCATTGACTATTGGATACTAAAGTAGACATCCCATCTATATGTCGTAAATCTTACACTAAAAAGAATAGTTGAGAGAGCCAGACACAGATTGCCTTATTTTTTGTTGCTGACATAGTTGATGGATAATAGTTGTTATAGCTCACAATAAGTCGTTTCATCAGTTTGACTTGGTAAAAAAGTTCATGAATTTGACAGAAATCAGTAATTTAGATCAGCACAGTTTGTTGGTAGCTCACATCAACTAAGACTCTTTTGATTGACAAGCTGGCAACTTTAACATGGGGATGGAATGACTAGTTGTATCAATAGTCAAAGGTACAACTGGCCTATGTGTAATGAAGGTTTTATGTCTCTTGTGAGCTACTTATATCAATTTCATCTTGATGGCTATACATTGCTACATGTAGTTGAATGTCTATTCTGGTGGCTCAATGATTTACTTTGGCTCTATACACTCTTTTGGCAAAGGAAGAGAATGTAAATTGATTCCTCTTCCACTATGACAAAAAAAGATATGCAACTTAGGGCACTGCAAAGGAATATCTGTTTAGTACAAGCAAATTTCTTTCATATCTAACATGATAAACAGCATAATAGATGGTTAAAAAAGCAAAATATTTTTTAAATTTGTTAACTATTGTGAGAAAAGTTTTGAAATGACAAAACTTATGATTTAAGCCATAAAAATCCCTCAGTAGCCACTTATAAAAACATATGGCAGGGATTGCTGCCATGATGCTCCTCAGGGGCATACGATAGTGCATAAGTACATTTTACACAGATACAACATTGATTAATTTGACATATTTCAACAAACTTATCACATCAGTTAACAATACTAGGGCGAGACATATCAGCTGAACAATTAAATTAGCACTGTACCTTATGTAGCACATGAACCCTGTAGGTTCCCTTGCCAGGCTCCCCGTCATGTACAATGTTAGCCACAAGATCGTAGATTGTGTGTTTATGCTTCTTCTTGATATCCGGGGTCAGTATGTCTCCAAAGTCTACATTCCTGTAGCAAACCACAGTCATTATGTTTTAGAGATTGAAAATGTGACGAAAACTTACAACAACTCAGCAATAGAGAATAGTTTAGAAAAACAATTTTTTTTCATTAGATTTTTATCTTGATTAACCTTATGGTCATAGGTGTTTTGCTAAAGAATATTGACTTATAAAAGGTTGGAAAGGGTTGATGAGCCATTTTATTTATAATTTTAGAATTAAATTTCATAAAAATCCCTTTCAAGCTAATTTTGTCCTACCAGAAGCGCTAATTCTTAGGATGTTCACTGATACAATAATTGAAACTCAAGATCTAAAGGTATTTTTAAGAGTTTAACTAATATGTTTACATAAAGGAAATTTTTTCTACAGTTGAAAGCTTATTAGTTCCACATCATAAACTTAGTATGGTTGAAAAAGACTTAGTATGGATCTACTTACTTGACAGGAAAGTTCACAATCGTTGGATTCTTCTCAACAAAGAATGTATTCTTTGTAAACCTCTGAACATACAATAAAAATTAGAAAACCATCAAACAAGTTTTGTATAAAAAGTTCTAATGTAAAATTTAATTAATAGCAAGTTTATTTTTGAAAGTTATAAGAATAGCCATTGAATTTTCAATAGACTATGTTTTAAATTATAGAGATGTTATATCTGTGGGAAATTCTGAACAAGTTAACAATACACACATACTATGACACCACATAAGTAAAGAAAGAAAATACTTCATGGGTAATAACCTTAGAAGTTAACTCTTTGCTCATATGGTGATGGTATGGATATAAAAACTCTTTAACATTTAATGTACTACATACATTGAACAGGCTTCTGTATTGTCCTCGAATGTTACTGTACATGTAGCAATGTAACAAATAAATACTTCTAATATCTATAATCAACGATACAACTAAAATGTTACTGCTTTTCTCAAAATATACATGTTCATTTTATGACAGCAGTTCTTTAATATGATTCATCACAACATAATTGGCATCATTAGGTGGTTAAGTAAAAAAGATATACAGGATGTGGGGCAGGGAAGTATTCCTACGTTTAAGATGGCACTGTGAGTAGTGGGGATATGCTAGAAGATCGTGGGTAGGCTTGAATGATGCTATTGCTTTGTGATGTTTTCTTAATTAATATAACCATCAGTAATATACTTGGCTTCGTTCAGTGTCTTTAGTGAGCAATGTGCTTTTGCAGTTGAGACATACTTTTTTCCAAAATCAGGGTTGCTGTTAAGTTCTGAAATTTATGGTTGTCTTTTAATTTACCTTTAAAATTGGGGATACTTCTCTGCCCTACCCCCAGTATTGTGCCATCGGATTATGCTTCAATTGTAGCAAACAATATTTTGGAGAATAATTAAACTAAGGAACAGTTGACATGAGGTAAATAAATACCCATAATTGGTTATATGCAATACAGTTTAGTCTTGATAATGAACACTTGGAAATAGAACGGGTAAATGGACAGAGACAAACCTTGATGTAAAGAATAAGATAAGGAGGTAGCTTGGTGATTTCAAATCTCTTCATGAAGTTCTCTTTGTATGTTTTGTACTCTTTTTCGCTTTCATTATTGAACTTGTTAAGCAGCTGGTATAAATTGACCTGAAAATTAAAATAGGTCAATTATTATATAAAAGAAAAACACTTGATTACCTTCCCTGTAGCAGCAAAGTATGTGTTAGTCATACTCATAAACTAAATGTTATTTGAATTTAAACGGGGAATAAATATGACATTTTAAGGAGATATTTTGGTGAAAATCCAATCAGAAAAATATAAATTTGCTTACTGCAGGCTTGTTGCGGTGGGGGTATTTAACTCTAAAACTGGTTACAACTTTCACATGAGAATGGAATGTTTAGTTGCATTGTCAAAGAAAATTCTCAGTTGCGTCTCTTTCATTAGTTACCTGAGGAATTATATTTTCCATGATCTCATCCTTGAACAACGGTGGTGGTGGAAGATCGCAGGTGAGGTAGAGGAACGGAGACGTTGTAACCTTCTCTGCGTACTCATCTGTACGCTGCAGCGCAGCTCTCTGAGCGTCGTCCAGCTCTATGGGAGGGATCTTACGTGATGTGATCTTCATTGTCCCGAGGAACGTCTTGTAGATGACGGAAGAGTCTGGCTTCTTAGAACCATTTAGAGCCAAGTGAAGAGCATTCAGGAACCAGGATAGGAAGTCGATAGGGTCACCTGTTAATGGTTTGAGTTTTTTAATATCTGCAGTAGATTATTAATTGGATTGGGTGGTAAAATCTGACCAAATAAATACCTATATCATCAAATGAATGCAGTTATTTTTCCCAATTCATGTTTACTTTAATCTTACGTCTTGACCGTTATCTCTACAATTGAAGCTCCCATTTCCATTAAATATATTTAAAGACATAATGTGATTAGAGGCAGGAAACAAAATGAGAAAAACGAGGATCCATAAAAGCAAATAATTCATCTTTTATATTGAAACCTATTTGTAAATTATTCAAGCATTTTTTTTGGTATATTGTAATTGAAACAGTAACAGTCAAAACACGAAATGCTAAAATAGAGCCTTAAGACCATAGATAAAACCATAGACTAACCAACACAAGTAGACTTCTCATCCCATTGTAAATTTTGAAGCACGTTTTTCGTGTCTAGTTCATGTACGTGACACAAAGGCGCTAGTGTCGATGAAACTTTGTTTCCATTATTTTAGGGTTAATTTCTTGATTTGTGCTTTACTGTTTGGTTATATAACTAGGGGACAAGTTATTGTTTATGATTAGATCGTATTATTTGGTTAAACGAGGTTTTAAATGGCTGTAATAACGGGAAACAAATTGTAAACAAAACACGACCTCTACATAAACCGTACATGAACTAACAATAAAATTGTCTTCAGCTGTTCCATAAGGATGAGAAATCTACTAAGGGTGTTTTATCAGATAAAACATACTCCCTTAGTAGATTTCTCATCCTTATGGAACAGCTGAAGACAATTTTATTGTTAGTTCTGTACGGTTTTCTGTAGAGGTCGTGTTTTGTTTACAATTTGTTTCCCGTTATTACAGCCATTTAAAACCTCGTATAACCAAATAATACGATCTAATCATAAACAATAACCTGTCCCCTAGTTATATAACCAAACAGTAAAGCACAAATCAAGAAATTAGCCCTAAAATAATAGAAACAAAGTTTCGTCGACACTAGCGCCCAGTGTGGCGTACATGAACTAGACACGAAAAACGTGCTTCAAAATTTACAATGGGATGAGAAGTCTACTTGTGTTGGTTAGTCTATGCTTAAGACTCAAGTGAAGGACAGTGGGTGTTATAAAATGTAATCTAATATATAAAATTCTCGTGTCACAGTGTTTGTCTGCAAACTCCTCCGGAACGACTTCACCGATCGTTATGAAATTTGGTGTGTAAATTCTGTAGGTATGCGAATCGGACGTAAACTATTTCCCGTTTCGAAATTCTTAAAAGGGCTCCGCCCCAGTGGCTCTGGAGTTTCCCATGTTAACCTTATGAGAAATGGAATTAATGAATCTTAACAGCTGTTTCAATTAAACAAGTTGGTTCTGTTCTATGATGTTCAATAGCATTAAAGTTACAAGGATTACCAACAGGGTGCAGCACTATTATTTCTTTTACATTTATGACAACAGCTAATTTGCAACCAAAAGGTGAGTGAGCGCAGCGAACGAGCTCCAACCTAAAGGTGAGTGAGCGTAGCGAACGAGCTCCAACCCAAAGGTGAGTGAGCGTAGCGAACGAACTTCAACCAGGACGTGATTGAGCGATGCGAACGAGATCATCGTGAAAATTAAACGTAACGGTACTTTCTTTCCATCGGTCTGTCTTAGGGGAAACCTATAACTTAGGCGATACGAAGTTCGCCGGGTCAGCTAGTATTGTTATATAATTCAATATTATCCTCTTTGTAAAGATATAATATATTAACAGATGTTTAATTATGATGAAACATGAATGTAAACAGTGTGTGTTGAAAAAAGAAATAGTAAATTTGTTCCAACTAACTTGAGACTGATTTTATTTAACTTTATTGAGAATTGGTTCATATTTGAAGTTAGTTTACATTTTTGGCGACCCTGCCAGGATTATTAGATGAATAAATAATTTTGAAGTATTAATTATTGTATAAAACCTGAAGGTCAATTAATAAAAAATGGCAGATGACCTAATACGTTTAAACCGGAAGAGAAGACAGCTTCGGCGACAATTTTTGAAAGCACATAATAATTTTGAAAATGTTTTAAAAGAAGATTTGCCAAAAGAAGAACTCCTGGTAGCCATTGAAACACAATATTTAAGTATGGAGGCGACATGTGACAATCTCTTCACTATGGATGAACAGATACAAGACTTGATGCTAGGCGAGAACACTTCTGACGCTGACCTGGACGCAGAGTACGACGCTTCGTTAGAGTTTCGAGACAAGTGGTTCAACATGAAGGCCCAATACAAAAACCTGGTAAAAACCTCTCCCTGCAGCGACCGAGGTGAGTTGAACCCCTCTAAACATGAAACCAAAATTCGTTTACCAAAAATTGAACTAAAAAAATTTGACGGGCAGTTCAAAAATTGGATTGGATTTTGGTCACAGTTTTCGAAAATCCATAATGATCAGAGTCTGCGTGATGAGGATAAATTCGAATATTTAATGCAATCAATGACACCAGGTTCCGCGGCTCTAAAACTGATCGAGGGTTTTCCTTTGTCTCAGGAAAACTATTATAAAGCAATCGAGCTCTTGAAATCTCGATTTGGCAAAGACGAATTACTAATCGAGTATTATGTAAGGGAGCTGTTGACCTTAGTGTTAAGTAAAAGTAGCCAGGTGTCTGTCACTAACCTCTATGATAGACTTGAAGTGCAGCTGCGGGCTCTTGAAACTTTGGGCGTCACTAAGGAAAAATATGCCGCTATGTTATTCCCTCTTGTCGAAACTTCAATACCAGAGAATATTTTTAAAGTTTGGGAAAGGTATCGAGTAGGCAAAAATGTGACCACAATGGAGCCTGGTAACTGCTTACGAGAGCTATTGTTATTCCTAAAGACGGAAGTTGAGGCAGAGGAGAGATTTAAGTTGAGAGAAGGATGTTTTGGGGTAGTTAGTAGTGAAAATAACAAGGTAAATGAAGATTCACAGAAACAACAACGAACTAGTAAGCCTAAAACACCTTCAGCAGCAGTTCTTGTATCGTCTGATGGGCATCAGGATCCTAAAATGAGCACAGGTATGTACCCTAATAAGAATCTTTGCGCATTTTGTGGAAAATCAACTCACAATTCATATGATTGTTTTTCCATTTTTGATAAGACAACCTCAGAAAGAATGGAGATTGCAAAGAAAAAGGGGTTGTGTCTTAAATGTTTAAAGAAGGGACACTTAGCAAATAAGTGCAGGATTCAGGTAAAATGTCACATCTGTATGGGTAAACATCTGGCAATCTTATGTCAAAAGATCCCTACTAATGAATCCAAGCTGAGTGGTGAAGACAAGTCAAAACAAACTCCGGTTCAAAGTACTAGTTCATTTTCGACTTTGAACAACAAAAGTAAAACTACCTATTTACAAACTTTGTATGCCTTTGTTAATGTAAATGGGGAACCGAAAAAGGTTAGAATCTTATGTGACTCAGGTTCACAGAAAAGCTTCATTTCTAGTCTCTGTGTATCTAAATTGAGTCTCTCAAGCAATGGTAAGGTTCTGATCCAGCAAGAAGTCTTTGGAGGTAAACAAACCGGTCCTAAATATTATAACACCTATGAATTAAATTTGAGCTCAATAAATGAGAACTTTCGGAGAAGTATCAACGTTGTAGAACAACATGTTATCTGTAATCATGTTCCTAAGTTTTGTGATTACAGCTTGATCACTCATTTAGAGAAAGAAAACATATTTCTGACTGATGTTTCTTCTTGTGACGGCGATGACTTCACTGGTATTGATGACTTATTAGGAGCTGACGTTTGGACACAGATCATCACTCCAGAGTTTCATAAGGTAAATGAGCAACTTGTAGCTGTAAAAACTCGATTGGGCTGGACAATTGTTGGCACGTCTGACGAGGAATCTTCTTTTGTCTCCTCCATGTTTGTGACTTTCCAATCTTCTCAAGATATTAGGCAATTTTGGGAACTAGAGACAATGGGTATAATGGATCCGAGTGTCAAGCAACAGAAAGAGGATAGAGATGTTTTAGCGTTCTTCGAAGACACTGTCGCCAGAGATGTGGATGGACGCTACGAGGTAAAACTACCTTGGATTGAAGACCACCCCCCTCTGGATACAAACCGTGAAGTAGCCAAAAAACGTCTGTTGTCAACAACACGTAAGTTGAAACAGTGTAATATGTATCTTGATTATGATTTAGTATTGAAGGATTGGTTGACCAAAGGCATCATTGAGCGAGTGACAGATGAAAACATTTCACAGCCATTGAAAAGTCACTATTTACCACACCGGGCTGTTGTCAAGGAGGGAAGCACCACGAGGATCAGACCTGTCTTTGACGCTTCCGCTAAAGACTTAAATGGATATTCTGTTAATGGATGTCTTGAGTGTGGACCTAACTTGATAGAGTTAATACCTAAGGTACTGACTAATTTTAGGTTACATGCATTTGCTTTAACGGCTGATATTGAAAAGGTTTTTCTACAAATTAGAATTGACCATGATGATCGAGACATGTTACGATTTTTGTGGTGGGAAGACAAACACGTGATCGTTTACCGCCATGCTAGAGTTGTCTTCGGTTTGTCGTGTAGTCCTTTTCTTTTGGGAGCAGTATTAAATAATCTTCTGGAAAACGCTCCTACCAATCTTAGACATGTAGCCAAGGCTTTGCTAAAAACTTTTTATGTTGACAATTGCCTTACGGGAGTTAACAGTATTTCTGAGCAAGAGAATTTCATAAATGATGCTCAAACACTTTTAAAGCTAGGAGGCTTTAACCTAAGGGGTTGGGCTGGTAACGGTTACTTTAAAACTCCTGAACAAGTTGAGAACGTCTTGGGACTTAGATGGTTATGCTCTAAAGATGAACTGTACTGTAATGTTCAACCTTTGAATATCAAGGACTCAGTACTTACCAGAAGGACATTGCTATCATGTGCTCAAAAGGTTTTCGATCCTATTGGTTTTACTGCTCCGGTTGGACTGATTCCCAAAATTATTTTGCAAACGACTTGGACGTTGAAGGTAGGTTGGGATGAAGAACTACCTCAAAACCTACAGGTACAGTTTCAAAAATGGGTCGAGGAACTAGGCTGTCTGGAAAGGTGTGTATTGAGTAGGAGAATATTTTTGAATGCTTCAAGTACAGTACATGTTTTTTGTGATGCCAGTAAAGCTGCTTTTAGATGTTGTATATTCTTAAGAACCGAAGTAGATGGTATCATTGACATAAATCTTATATTAGCCAAATCACGAGTTGCACCAATCAAACCAATTACTTTACCTCGTCTTGAGTTAATGGGTGCAATTACTGGTGTGAGACTCTCATGTCTAGCTTTACAGTGTCTCAACAACCCCAAAGTCCCAGTTTATTATTGGCTGGACTCCACCGTAGTTCTAGCATGGATTGCAAAGCAAGGGAAGTGGTCTGTTTTTGTTGAAAACCGAGTGAAAGAAATTAACAGATTGACCCAACTTTCACAGTGGAGACATGTTTCAGGACCTGACAACCCTGCTGACATTCTTTCCAGGGGATGCACTTCTAAAAAATTACTCAATTCTCAGTGGTGGCTTGGCCCTCAATGGCTATATGCTTCTCCTGATAAATGGCCATCAGAACGCCCATCACCTGATCCAGAAGAGCTTAAGGAAGAACTTCGTAAATCTGTCGTCACTGCTAGTTCTGTTGAGCCAATATCAATCGCTCAAATGTTAGGAAATAGATTTTCCAAGTATACTAAGATAGTAAGAACTGTAGCGTGGATCTTGAGAATGTCTCCCAAGAATAAATTGAACATCAGTTCTGAAGAAATCTTGAAGGCAGAAAAGATTGTATTTAAATTGATTCAAAGAGAGAGCTTTCCTGAAGGTCTAAAATCTCAAGAGCTAAGTGGTGTACAAAAATTCGTGGATGAAGATGGCGTCATAAGAATGAAAACCAGAGTATCAGATTGGGAGGAAGGTTTTGAATACCAGTACCCTGCCATTCTACCTAGCAAACACCCTGCTGTTGAGAAAATGATCAGGCAGTACCATTTACAGAATAAACATGCAGGAGTACAAGCATTGATTGTCATCCTTCGTGACAGAGTGTGGATCCTGAAAGGCAGAAGGGCTGTTGGAAAAGCCTTAGAGATACCATCACCTCCCTTACCCACAGACCGCACTCAGATTTCTTCATGTTTTCAAGTATGTGGGATTGACTTGGCTGGTCCATTGATCACTAGAGATAATCAGAAGTGTTGGGTGGTAATGTTTACATGTGCCGTGTATCGTGCAGTCCACTTAGAAGTCATCCAATCCCTCAACACAGAAGCCTTCATAAGAGCCTTACAACGGTTTATAGCTAGACGAGGCCGGATAAGTGTTATCTATTCAGATAATGGCACAAATTTTGTTAGTTTAAACAAGAATCTGAAGTCTCTGAACTGGACTGAAATCCAAAATACATTCAGCCTCAATGCAATTGTGTGGAAGTTCATTCCCCCTGCAAGTCCTTGGTGGGGAGGATTTTGGGAAAGACTGATAAGGATCCTAAAAGGACTCCTCCGGAGGAATTTGGGAAATTCATCTCTCACATACGAAGAAATAAACACCCTAGTATGTGAATGTGAGGGAATAATGAACAGAAGACCACTAACATACGTCTCAGAGGAGACGGGAGACTTAAGACCTCTGACTCCATCTATGTTTCTACAAAGCATTGTGGGAAATGAAGTCACGGACTTGGACATCCTAGAGAGAACCAGTTTGAAAACAAGATGGAGATATATTCAAAGTCTAAGAGACAATATGAACTCCCGTTTCAAAAAGGAGTATTTGGGGTTCCTGAAATCGTCCAACAAGTTAAAATCCGACGATATTTAAGTTGGAGACGTGGTATTGGTTCAAATTGAAGACAGAAGAAGAATTACTTGGCCTTTGGGTATTGTAATAAAACTGTTCCCAGGGAAAGACGGCAAAGTTCGGTTGGTACAAGTAAAAACTAAAAAGGGTTTAATACTAAGACCCATACAACGACTGTACCCTCTGGAAGTTACCGGAGAAGGACTGAATGAAGACTTCTTATTTTGCGACCTCGCAAAAAAAAAAGGGGGGAGTGTGTTATAAAATGTAATATTGTTATATAATTCAATATTATCCTCTTTGTAAAGATATAATATATTAACAGATGTTAAATTATGATGAAACATGAATGTAAACAGTGTGTGTTGAAAAAAGAAATAGTAAATTTGTTCCAACTAACTTGAGACTGATTTTATTTAACTTTATTGAGAATTGGTTTATATTTGAAGTTAGTTTACAGTGGGATTCAAGGTGTTCGACTATTTATTATGTACCAAACTAAAGATGTAGGACTGCAGCACACTCTGTAAGTGTGACTCATTCAACTAAGATCTTTTTTAATAAAAAAAGAGCTACAGCTGGTGATACGATGTCAACTTCAGTATACAAAGTAAAAAGTATCAGCCAGTGCTCTTACACTCAGGCTGTGAACTACTGTTTGTTGGCACTTCTTGTAAATATAAGCCCATTTTACTTTGAAGATGTCTTAAAAATTGAAAGTTCTGAACTTTCGATGGGTAAGTGTTTTGGATTTATAGTATATGCACGCGGTATGCATTGAACCAAGGCCCCACTAGAAAAACAGGCCATGCTGCAGGATCCATGACGTTACACGAGTGGATAGATTTGTTGATAGATTCATTGCAATACCCCATATGTTTTAGGTAAATAAGCTGGCTGTTTGTCAGATTTTAACGGTAACATTTTAGTACAACTATCCACCACTGTGACGTAGTGTTGCGCTGCCCGCGCTGCAGCATGGTCTTTTTTTCTAGTGGGGCCTTGATTTAACCACCCTAAAAGTTTGAAAAAAGTTAGCTGTGATGTGGTTAAACCATAATTATGTGGTCTTCATTGCGCTGTACGGTTTTGGTCACGTTATATCACAGTTTAGTCAACCGTTCTACTGTATTTTAAATTGTTCATTATTATTCCTCGAAAAACCGGAATTGAAATTATTTACCTTGTTCAGTAAACTGGAATTTTTTTCTGCTCCACAGAACGACCGCCTGTAGCATCTCGTGGGGTGAAACGTGGGCCTTGAAGTTGCGAGGATTCCACAGTTTACGCATCAACTCACCGAACCTTTGCACCAGTAGGAAGCTGCTGTCACCAGGTGGTCGCTTGACCCTGGCGTAGTTTATCTCTCGCAGGAAATAGTCCCGTAGTGGTGTTACATGTGACAAAGCCTACATCAATTTAGGTGATGAATGAATATTACGTTATTGCGTTAAAGGAAACAGACAGTCGTCAGTTTGATCACAAGAAGAGCTTTTTGCTGGTTCAAAAATGGAACCAGCTAGCCTTGATCATTGAGCTATTAAATAATGTTTGCGGCTAAATAAATAGTTTATCTTAGTCAGCAATGCAGTTATAAAATCAATTAGTTTTTCCTTTTCAGGTCGTCACATCAAGTAAAACATCTTTTATCGTAGGAGATGATTTTTTTATTTATTTATTTTACGATAATCACATAACATTATACTCTGACAGGTGATTCGTTATGTTACAATATTTTCTAGTCTCTATACTAAAATTAGAATAAAGTTCATTGGCTAAGCCTGAACATCTACACAGCTTCCATATATTCCTCCAATGAGTAAAAAGGCCTTCCCCAAAGAAAGTGATTATGAATGATTATGACATCATCATCAGACATTCATGTCAATAGGCTCATGTTGTGTTGGTATTAAAGTACCGGTAACAACATGGTTCTAGGTACCAACATTTTTTGTAAGAAACAGTGGTACCATGAATCGCCTTTAGATACCAAAACAACACTTACCGTAATGAATATAGACAAAAATAACATTAGGTCTAATATCTTCTATTTTAGATGGAATCACACTAACAAATGTTAAAAATTCCTGAAAAAAATAACCTAACAGATTTTTATGAATACAAGATTTTTAATATAATCTTCTATAATATTAAAACGAAAGTGTGTTTTTTTATTTCACGATTCTGAATCAACCACTCGACGGATTTTCATGATTTTTGTGTTGAAAGAAAGATAATTTTGAGAACTAGGGAATGTCGAAGCCATAATTTTAGTTTAGGGTCCCAGTTATTTAGAAATTAAGTTTTAATTTTTGAAAAGTCTAGCAGCCGACGCTAAGATTCTAAACTAGCTTTTGGTGTGATATAATTTGTTTAACATAACAGCTGTAAACATTCAGAGTTTGTAACACAAATTCAGCATTTGGATAAAATTAAAAGACATACTAAGGGTTGACTTATTTATACTATGTGTAATGCTAATCATTGATACGTCCAATCCTTCGATAAGAGTATAACAGATTATTTAAATATACAAAGGTAAAATACTAGGATGTTCAAAGGATTTTTTAAATAAATCTTTGTAATCTTCGGTTTGTTTTAGTGCAATATAATTTTCTTTTAACTAACAGCTGGTTAAATATAAAAATGCTCTATAAAACCATATAGAACTGTGATGAGGTTATTTTATTTACTCTGATTTAGTCATTGATTATAGGAAATATGTAAGATTAGTAGACCACCGAGATAAGTAACACCATCGATGTATACAAGTCGAGGCTCTGTACACGAGTTTTAAAAAAGGATATGCAAATTATTTTACTGCTCAACTTTTTTAGGAAACGGTAGGAAAATCACAATTTGTACATGTTTTAATTCATCTTGGTGGCTTTTTGTTTACAACCGGTGTTTTTGAATGCTTAAACTTTGTTTGGATTAGGCCCGAAAATATTGATGTCATAAAGAAGGAGGTCAAGAATCCTCAGGAATACGATTTTAAATTACCACCACAATCTCAGACAGGTTTTATCCAAAGATATGCAGATGAATTACATAGATTGAACACAACGTCATCATTGACCTAGGATACTGCAATTAGATTAACCACCCTTTTATGAAATCTAAACAGTTGTTTGGCGTGTGTTTAGTTGTGGTTACGTTTGGAGGCGCTGAATATTTGATATAGACAATTAATTACGTCACTAGCTTTACTAGCGTGTTTACGTTTTAAATTCCTTTTAACATGTGACCAGTTCTTTTTTCCAAATGAATATTATTTTATTTTTGACTCAGCTGTTTACAAAACAAACTATATGTTGTTGTTTTTACTTTTCTTTGTTTACACTTATTTGATAGCAATTGATGCAGTAAAATTGATATAAAGGATATGTGTGGACTATTCGTTTAATGATGTTACTGTGAATTTTATTGGACGTTTTCGTTTTACTTTAGGGAGTTCCTATTCAGATCTACTGGAAATTGTGTATAGTATGAGTAATTGTATTGTGGTGATATTGATTACGGAAGAAGCAGGTATGTGATGGAATTGGAAGGGGATATCGTTGACTAGGCCTATACACTTTCTCAACTGATAATTACTCTTTCTACTGTAGGCTGCAATAAAATTTGTCATTAAACGTGTAAGCTAGCTGTTCTGAATTATACCATAGATAAAAGGAGTATAGATACAGTTTTAACTGACTAGGCCTACTCCCGTACGTAGGACGGGCTAACACCTCGTTTCTTTTAAAATATTTTTATAATTTATGCCTGGTTTAAAAAAATCTTAATTTAACAGGATAAATTTAACTAGTACAAAATAAACCTACCTGTAAAATTACATTGCAGTAATCGTTTGCTTTTATGTTGTTTAGCCCCACGATACCAGGCAAGTAGAGAGTTCCGTCAATGGCTCGAGACAACTTGTCACTGTTGTCTAACTGTCTGATGTGCTCGGAAGTGAATGTGGGGTTCAACACATACTTAATATCATCCAATGACGAGTCTGCAATCAACACAATAACATTGTGAGACATAAATTAGACTATCATTCAATACATCGATTCAAACAAAATATTTACACCTTAGATATTACGATACAGCGAACCTTTGATAATTAAATTCATTGTTATACTAAGGACATCAAACCAAAAACCAGAGCCTTAGGTGAACCCCAGTGCAAACATTTAGAGCAGGGCCGAGTAGGTTAACATCGCAATCATATTCTTTGATCGAGACTCTTTTACTGCAAAAAGAGGACAAATTGCAATTACGCAAAGAATTTTATTGAGGATTATTCAATACTTAACATGTTTTGGTATCATACACAATATTTTTGTGTTTTACCAGGGGTCTCCTGAGGTGCAATAGAGCAGGGCCTTGTGCCGTTGCATCTTTTGAACATGCCTAATCTACTAAAAACTATATGTATTTTTAAAGCACAGATGTTAATTTGTGATTACTTTCGATAATCATATCATGCAATGCTTTTATTCTAATAGAGTAACTCATAGTACTTAGTTTCCAAGATACCTATGTTATTTTCACTCACTATTAGTTTATAATAACCATATTGTACTTGCCGACTATTTCGTAGTTATCTGGCAAACAGTAGAACTTAAGGGTGAGAAGGTTGAGGAACACATGGTGGCTCTCTGCGACACTGTGTGTGTAGGCGTGTGTGTTCGTTCCTCGCCCTACAGTCAACAATATAGCAAATGCATCATTCCAAAGATCTGAGCATTAACACATTGCGTGCGGGTCAGTCGCCAGTGACTGATTCCTTATCATTGAGATAAGTGGAATTTTCAAGAGTAAACATGACGGCCGCATTGAAAGAGTTAATAACTTAAGGAGATCCTATCTTTCAGCTTACACTCTTAGGCCTTACTTACAGCATAACTTAACATTTTGCTTGAACACCTTTTTAGAAAGGTGAGGTTTCTGAAAAGAAAACTGAATATTGCAGCATACTTAAAGCTTAAAGGTGTTTAAGCGAATACTAAGCTCGAGTAGACTACAAACCTAGGCCTAAATTAATTTCAACACTGTTAAATGGAACATTGATTATAACCGATGACTTTTTTGATATTGATATTTTAGTTTTCAAAACCAAATTTTAGAAATAACTATATAGCCTATCGGCAATAACAAGTAGCCTACCGGTAGTGAGTTTTTTATTTTTATGTAAGGTTATGTACCGGTAACGTTAATTGTTTAAAAAATACAAACATTAATGAATCAAAACTATTGTAAAAGACAGCCTATAGCGAACAATAGAACGAAAACAAAATAGGCCTAAGAATGACAAAACTAATACGTTGCATTTCTAGATTGGTTTTTCTTGATAAAAAATATAGCCTATATCATGACCATTACAACATTAACGTTCATTATGTGAACCTTTACATTTAAAAAATCCAATTGCACTATTTTTGTTTGACGGTAAACCCCAAATTAACATTTTGTTACTGTAATTATTAAATTCGTTGTTAATACTGAACAATCATTAGGCTATCCTAGTCCAAGCGGGTATGTTTCAATCTGTTGATATCGATATATATATCGAATCATAAAAAAAATATCGATAGGCTAATCAAAGAAAAAAATCATCAATTATAATTAGGGATGGACGGGATTGAATTTTTAGTTCGGGACGGGACGGGACGGGATTTTTATTTCCTTCCCGATTTTCGGGACGGGACGGGACGGGATTTTTTTCTGTGCATAAAAAGAAAGTACTGTTTTGCAGTTACCAAAAAACACTTACGAAATGAATTTTTACCATTTGTGGCACTGATCTATAAAAACCAAAAAATGGGTAACAATTTACAGGTACCTATAGTAACTTGTGACTCGCGGGTCACGGGGTGATCGTCTGTATGAATCACGGTCACGGTGCGATCGTCGTCATGACTCGCGATCACGGCACGATCGTCGGTATGACTCGCGGTCACGGCGCGATCGTCGGTATGACTCCGCGGTCACGGGGTTATCGTCGGTATGACTCGCGGTCACGGCATGATCGTCGGTATGACTCGCGATCACGGCTCGATCGTCAGCATGACTCCGCGGTCACGGCGCGATCGTCGTCATGACTCGCAGTCACGGCGCGATCGTCGGTATGACTCGCGGTCACGGCGCGATCGTCGGTATGACTCGCGGTCACGGCGCGATCGTCGGTATGACTCGCGGTCACGGCGCGATCGTCGGTATGACTCGCGGTCACGGCGCGATCGTCGGTATGACTCGCGGTCACGGCGCGATCGTCGGTAGGACTCCACGGTCACGGCGCGATCGTCGGTATGACTCCGCGGTAACGGCGCGAACGTCGGTAGGACTCCGCGGTAACGGCGCGAACGTCGGTAGGACTCCGCGGTCACGGGGTTATCGTCGGTATGACTCGCGGTCACGGCATGATCGTCGTTATGACTCGCGATCACGGCTCGATCGTCAGCATGACTCCGCGGTCACGGCGCGATCGTCGTCATGACTCCGCGGTCACGGCGCGATCGTCGTTATGACTCGCGGTCACGGTGCAATCGTCGGTCCAATAATCACGGTCACGGCGTAATCGTCGAAATGACTTCGTCTCCTGCGTTCGCGGACCTATCGCTCGCATTAACGGCGTTATCGGCACTCGCGAAGCGCAAAAATCGCCGACAATCGGACCAAATCCCGTCCCGAAAAATTCCCGAGTCAAATGTAATCCCGTCCCGATAAACGGGAATATTTTTTTCCCGAAAAATTCCCGAAATTTCGGGACCCGTCCATCCCTAATTATAATGAGTTTTCCCTTTAACAGAAAAGTACTGTGCAGTCCTACTAAAAATTAGTTCACCTTGTAAAGCTGAGGATACAAATATATCAAGATTACTTACATAAATGATTTTATTAATACCTCACCAGTTGTTATATATTTCTTAAGTGGGACAGACATTCATGGCTGTCCATGGGTAGGCCTACAGTAGAGGTAAACATTTTCAACTAAAAAATCATTAGGTGGTTTTGCTTCTTGGTAGGGCAATTTATTAAGTATTTAACAAATTTAATTTTAGTATCAAATAGCAAGAGGTGTTCAGCAAAGTACTAGGTACCTACTTGTTTTTAAGGCTGTTTGTGAAACTTTTGGACCATTCATAATTTAAAAAGGTGTTCATTTAAACTTTCTCATGATATTCCATAATACTGTACATAGCATAATATTATGGAATACACTGCATACCGGTAGTAGGCTATTAAAAGGATATGCAATAAAATAATAAACAGTACAAATAAGATTATACATACCTTGAAAATATTTTCCACACACTAAACAAGCATAAACATTAATACGAGACAGTGACACTGAGCAGAGTTTTTCAAAATCAAAATCCAGAACTTGACGGTTGATTGTGTCAAGATAAGGACACAGCCTGTGTGTTTTTACTTTCTCTGGAACAACAGGACCTGCAAAATATAAAATTAAAACATTTAACTTATAGCGAATGGAAGATTAACTTAGACCTATCACAATTAAATCCCAAAATGGAAGAAAACTATTCATGTAAGCTCTGCTTAATTAAAGTAACTCTTACACTGACACAGTTTGTTTTGTTTAATAATTTTGATAATACTAGTGTACCTGTTGCTCGAATTCGAGCAATTGCGAAGCATTACAGGTGTTATTTTAAAACGAATAACGGTCATAATTTCCGATGACTTTATAAAAGTCGAGTCAAAGATTATGGAAATACTCACGATGTACACAACAGATAGATATAATCAAAATTGTTTGTTAATATCTTATCTTTTTTCAAAAGCTGGTCTTGTTTTTTTAGTGTTTTCTACAAATGTTTCCCACTTATAGCCCCATTAGGTTCTCTATAATAACGATTATAAATGAAAGAAAAAAAACATTATTTCTATTTCTTCTAATTCAGTTTAGTTTTTAGAAGGCCTAACTTAGCTAGGTCTATATCAAATTGTCCAGGATTTCTCGCTTTTTCCATTGTAATAATTACACCAACCCAAGTATCGTCTACGGATGCAATACGCCAAAGAATATCATCTACGTGCAACACACCTACGTACAATCTCCAAGAAGAGGTAAAAAAAGGCAGAAACCAACCCACACAATAGACATAAGTTAACTCCATAAGAAATAATTTTAAAAGTTACTGGGATATTAGGATTTTCCACTGATTTGGATTGCACATAATCACATTACAACATTATATTGCAAAACATGACACGATGCAGAAGAAAATCGATTTTGAAATCAGAAAAAACCTTTGCAAATACTTCATTTTGACAGATTCAGTAAATCACAATTTAAATATTAACAGCTGTTTCATTAAAAAGTAATGTAAAATTACACATATGGTCATAATGTAAACAAATCTGCTGAGGGGACTTTAAATGCCTCTGGGGCAGAGCCCCAAGGGAATTTACCTCGTCTCTCTTTTGATGGTTCATCTACAGACCAAGACCTTTCTTTAGAGACCCCTACCAAGTTTGTACGCCCAGCCGTTCTCTGGAATTAGCTGTGACAAAAACCCGTTTTTCCCTATAAGAATAACATGGGATGGGAATTTAAAGGCCACTGGGGCAGAGCCCCAAGGGAATTTACCACGTTTCTCTTTTGATGGCTCATCTACAGACCAAGCCCTTTCTTTAGACACCTCTACCGAGTTTCTACACCCAGCCGTTCTCTCAAATTAGCTGTCACAAAGAAAAACAGTTTCAAATTAATATATAGATATAGTTTGTAAGAAGTGTTTTAAACCGAGTCTACCTAACTGAAACATAGTTGTAAACAATAGGCCTGGGTCTAAGTTACAAGTCATTCAACCTGACTAGTATTAACACAAATCTAAAAATAAAATAAAACAAACATGAGCTGAACTAGCAATATAGGCTATACGGTCCTTCAAAACAATCTGTAAGTTAGTACAGCAGAAGGCAGCAAATCGGCAATGGAAGACAATAGCCAAACCTGATCCGACCATCATTCGAGGTAATGTTGGTAATATGTGTAGGTTATATTTAACAAGCTCTAGTGTTTAATTTGAGAGAATAATTTTTTAAATTATTAGGTTTAAAGAAATAGGCTATGTGTTTCAGGAAAAAATATTAAGTTATAAACTATTAGTTGAAAAGCAATTTAATTGATGAATTGAAGACGCATACATTAATGATAAAACAAATTATTAATTGCTGCTTTAATCATTACAATAACTTTTCATGAGTAGACCCAACAGCCAAATGTAAAGATGTACCGGAAAATTTACATTTTGTTGAGAACAAAATGCATTGGCTATGCACAATGCACTTAACACAAAAAGGCGAATTGGTAATGCTTACCTGAACCATCCTCATCATCTGATATTGGATCAATGTCGTATATATTTTCTTCGATCTTCCTCTTCTTTGCAGCAGCAAATTTTTGTTTCAATTTGTCAATTGGTAATTTAGTCTCAGCCATTTTCACCTGCAATAAAAGTTGTTATCTCTAAGATGTGTCAATGTTGTCTGTAGGGTCAATCTCCATCGCTGGAGCATTTTTTTGGCAAATAAATAGTAAAGTTAACTCTGCTCAGTGGTCTATTTTTGTATGTTTGTTGGTTTTTATCATAGGTAATTTTATTTATTATATCTAATTTATCGTTTCAATTACAATGTTTTTGAAAAATTACAATGTTGTAGACAACTATAGGCCTAGACCTATTTTTTTCTTAGGCCTAACTTTAAGTAAATTTAAATTGCTTCTAGTGATATTTCTAGTGACAATTAAAAGAAATGTTTAACAAGGTAACAAGGCCTGGTGCCAAAATGGAGTCCAACAGGCAGGGCAGGGCATAACCACAACACTCGAAATTCAGCCGACTTCAATTTACCCTACCACAAGACTTTCATTTTTTCAAAAAGCCTAGCTACGCGGGAGCAAAGCTCTTCAATCATCTACGACGCATCAAAAGTTGAAACCACGCCACACTAAAAATACCCCCGCCACAGCAAACCTGCAGACTAAGCAAATTTCAACTTGTCTGATTACATTATTACTAAAATATTTCCATAAATAAGACATAAAATTTATTCCCAATTTAAATAACATTAGGCTAGATTTAACGAGTGCTTAGGTTTGCTGCTACGGGGAAGGTAAAAAATGTTTTTGACCATACGTCGATACTATAGGATGAATTAGGCTAAATAAATTTGCCAAATTTTGTCAATGTATATCCATAAACAAGTAAACTACAACAGTTTTCATTTTCTCCCTAAGAATAACATGGGAATTTTAAATTACACTATTTTTGAATTTTCTCCGTGACTGTTAGGCATACAACAGCGCTTCAATATACTAAATTATTTCTTTTTTAAACTCTTCAAAACGGAAAGAAATTGTGAATTTTTTTTGGTTTTAGGGTCAAAAATGGGAAAACCCCATATTTACCCCATAAAACCCCTGTTCACATGGTCCGATTATGCTGGTTCGCGAACTCGTTATAATAAACGTAGGTTTACACGTTTGTACCAAATTTAATCAAAATCGGATCATAACTCAACCAAGAGTTATCGCGCTAACGGACACATATATATACCTATATATATATATATATAACTTATATATATATATGAATTTGAACGGATTGCGTTTTTGGCCTCTAGGGACCTCAAAACAAAAAATTTAATCGGTCCCGGGTTCAGGCCTTACTATGAGTACTACGGTAATAGCATATTCCCTATATTCGAAATTTGATAACAAGACTTCGCAGCTGACTTCTGGAAACTCCTCTGTACAGCATCGAAGAGTTCTTCCGGCGGTCCAGTGAGCACATTGACGTTTGATGTATTAATTCTGAATCTCACCTTTAAAAAAATGTAAGACACCATTCTATGCTTGAATAAAGATTATTGTATTGTATTTATGGTAAGAATAAGTTATCGGAGTCAAAGACTTTAGTAACATCTTAAGGAGCGTTTAACTTGCACCATTGAAGTCAATGCTTGCACCAAATTTGACAACTAAAAGTTTGTTTACCTATTTTGCTGAAACGTCATCTAGGTTTTAAATGAACAGGTAAGGCAAAAAAGGTAAATAAATTATTTGTATAATAGGCCTACAGGTCTTGTCACTGAGTTCAAATAACATTGACACATTAGCTACCAACTACATTCATCCCTCAGTTACAGAGAAGTGTGACGGTCGGTAGCGAACGTGTTACCACATTAGCTACCAACTACATTCATCCCTCAGTTACAGAGAAGTGTGACGGTCGGTAGGGAACGTGTAAACTAAAAGTTTACAACTAAATTTTAACAATTTAAAAGCTCTTAATCCTCGAGCGGGCGCTTGTGGAGTTTCCCTCCGCACTTGTAAGTTTTTGTTAAAATAATTATGCATTATGGGTGTCGGCAGTGATGTCCGGCTCCATATTTCACGCACCTCATCCTGGAAATGCCCCTAAGCTATTTTTGCCTCCAAATTCCTCCTTATTTTGTTGTCAGTTGCAATTCAGTGACGCAGTGTCATTTTGCGGAGGTTTTTTCCCCCCCCCCTTTCGCATAAGTCCTTAACGGAGAGTTTATTTTCTTTTGCGCTCTTCTGTGTTAGAGGTGACTGTTTTAGGTGTGCCCGTTAGTTAAGTAGGCTATACAACTATTTGGTGTTCCCCGTTTTATATTAGACTGATGCCACTATGGATTTTTTAGAAAAGGAGAAATTACGAGGGTTGCTAGATAGTGACGAAAGAGAAGAAATAATATAAGAAATACAACCAAAACGAGATTTTGATTGGTACTCATTTATTTGAGACTTCATTTATGTATCTTTTTTGTTAATATGGTATTAATTGTTTACATACCAAACTTCACAATTGATACTTTTACTTTATTATTTATTTGTTTATATATTATTATATTGTTTACATTATACACATACAATTTGTCAAACAATGTGTAGCCTACCTACATTTTATATGTACAAAAATATAAACCGGTTTAAATGTATTATATTATGTATGATTATTATCAAATAAACTTAACTCATAATTTGTTTGCATATAGGCCTATATGTATAATTGCGTTATTGCGGAACAAAACTCTTGCGCCCTCGTAACACCGACAGTGTTAAGTTACCTTTATACTAGAAAATTGCTCAATATGTTTATTTGAAATATAACTTAACCCATATTTAGTAGAACAAATAATGTGATTAACAATGAAATTAGGTTCCTGAATAGGTTACCTATTCAATATTTACTTACAATATTGTGTTATAACAACAAATGGGTAAAACTTTTGCTATATAGTGTTGCGGAATAAAACTGTGCATGCGCCCGCTCCTGTTTTACTGGTGAAGCTCCTGCTTGAGGGTTAAAACAATTTTGAGCAACTAGTGGAAGATTTTTTGTGGTAAACCAAAAGTTGCTTCTCTCTAAGTTAGCGCAACTAGTGGAAAACTTCTTTCTTAAGAATTGGAGCGTGAAATAGTCAGTTTGAAATCAAAACAATATAGGCTTACATACAATACTGAAAAAATAATAGCAAACTAGAAATTGATGTAGCCTAGGTTAGCCTACTCACCAGACTTTAGGAAATTCCACCGATTTCTTTAAAATTATAAACCTATATTGAAAATATCTTAAATTACCATATCATAATCGAATAAAAACTAAAAATAACCAAGCTATAAATATATATTTTATTAAATATCTTCAAATTAAGTTTTCAAATCAACTAAACGCAATTTAACCTCAACTCTTTCATCCTATAATCATTTTTTGACGGCTTTTGTTTTGTGACCGGGACCACTCACTCCACTCCGGTTCGGTTACATAGAGTTCTTCTTCTTTTGTTATACGTAAAAAAATGCTGAACTTTTTAACCATGCAGCTAATGTTTCTGTAGGAAAGAAATCATTGATCATACACCTACAATAAAAAGTTTATATTTAGCTGTAAAAACTCAAAGTTCACCAGTTCAAAAAATTAAAAAATTACTTTTAGGTGAAGTGTCTTTGGTTCACATAAGTTACTAGTTGTTATCTTAAGTGATAAAACCAAACTGTCCTTTTGAAATTACTAGGCCTATGAATTAAAACTAACATAGACAATAAATAGCCCAGCCGCAGCAAACCTGCAGATTAAGCAAAAGTCTATTCACCTCGATGGATTTATACTAAAATATTCCCTAAAAATCGACAGATTAATTTCCTTTGAAGTTTGAAGTTTAAACAACATTATATATTTTCAATGAGTACTTAGATTTGCTGCTACAGGGAAGGTTATGAGGTGTGTTTTATTTAATTGTTAATAGCCTAGTATGAAACACACAAATACAAAATTTGATTGAAATTTATTCATACACAAGCAAAATACAACAGTTTATTTATCTCTCTCTCTCTCTCTCTTTATATATATATATATATATATATTAAATCCAAGGTATGTACAGTATGTATGTTTGTTTTCATCACTCCGTAACGAAAGTAACTATTTTCGATAACAGCTGACATCAATGAAATTAGCCGTTTCCCAAGCTCTAATTTAGGGCGAGGAAAAATCGATCAGCTGATTTTCCCTCGCTCTAAATTTACTTTCGTCGCTCTCAATTAGTTCTCCATTTATTCACTACGCGCGCTAGTGTTTTGTTACAGTTTAATTTAATGATTTGAACCAGCTGTTTTTATTGTTTGACAATCTAAATGTAAACATAAACAGGCATAAGCTTGTTTTGCTGTGTTTTTAGCTTAGTGCGTATTTAAAAGCGGCCAAAATATGTCTATTATTTCGGACGATTTATCGAAGAAAGCTTTAGAGATAACCAAAAACCTCCTTCCAGAGAAATCGAGAGAGAGGTATAATGAGGAGTTCAGGAAGTTTATGGACTGGTGCCAAGGACACAATGTTTTACCAAAGAATGTAAGTGACGAAGTTTTATTAGTATATTTATCTGAGAAATCTAAAAGCATGAAACCAACAACGTTGTGGAGTAAATTTTCTATGATAAAGAGTGGTTTGAAATTAAAAGAAAATGTGGATGTATCCAAATTTAACAAATCTCTAGCATTTCTTAAACGTCAATCAGTGGGTTATCAACCTACAAAAGCTAAGGTTTTTACTGAAGACGAAATTCAAAGATTCATGGTTAACGCTCCTGACAATGAATGGCTATTGAGCAAAGTCATCCTAACGCTCGGTATTTATGGAGCTTGTCGAAACCACGATCTTATAAATTTAAAAGTAGAAGATATTACAGACAATGGCAGTTTTTTTGTCGTGTTTCTCAACGATGGCAAAACACACATTAAACGCAGTTTTACCATAACCAATGACAACTGTCCATATAGACCATGTGATTTGATTCGCAAATATTTGTTATTGCGCCCCAGACAAATGAAAAGTAACCGATTTTTAATTGGTTACAGGAAGGGTAAATGCGTGGGACAAAATGTAGGGGGTCACACAATCAGTTCAATCCCAAAAAAGGTAGCAGAATACCTTAAATTAGACGAACCGGAGCGCTATACTGGACACGCCCTCAGGCGTACCTCAGCCACCATGCTAGTTGAGGGAGGAGGGGATTTACTTGCCCTTAAATCACACGGAGGTTGGAAATCCTCTAATGTCGCAGAGAGTTACATAGAAAATTCCATTGGAAGAAAATTACAACTGTCAAGAAAACTGTTTAAAAATCCGCATGCAATGAGTTCAACAGCTGCTGAGAATACAAACAGAAATGTTGTAGAAAAAACACATTCAGGAAGCCAAATAGATTTTTTTGACATTGATCATGTGTTTAACAACTCAGAAGATGAAGAATGTCCTCAGAGAAAAGTAAGAAAAGTTGATGAAACAAACACGACCACTACAAACGTTTCAACGATTCAAGAACTTCAGAAAAAACTTTTAAACGAAGGAGTGAATGTCTCCAACAATGAAAACTGTACAATAAACATAACCATAAACTTCTAATTTTTTGATTGTGAAGTAGGTTCCCTTTAGATTTTTTTATGTTTAAAAAAAGATTAATCGAGAAATATACAAAGGTTTCCTTTTAGAAGATTTTATTTTGATGTTTAAAATAAATAATTTAGAAATAAACTAGTTGTAATATTACTGAGGTCTGTTATTCTGTGTTTGTGTATTTTTGCGTCGTGATGAAAAGTATCGTTCATAACTCGTACCGAAAGTTATTTTCCGGCTCTTGCTCCATTATTCCCGTCCTCGGCTTCGCCTCGTACGTGAAAATAGCTCTCACATACTCGGCTTCGCCTCGCATGTGAAATTGGATTTTCCTGTGTTCGGCTTCGCCTCACACAAAAACTTGAGCGCGCTCCGGAAAATGCCACTTTCGGTCCTAGTAATGAAATATACTATTGTTTGTCCTTTATGGACTCCGAAACCGCTCGACAGATTGTTATGAAACTTTCAGGCATTATTCAGCATTATTTAAGGATGGTTTGTGTGAAGCTTGGTGCAGATCCGTCATAAGGGCTCCGCCTCAGTGGCTCTGTAATTCCCCGTGTTAACCTTATGAGTATCTATCTATATATTAATAGGCAAGCATGTTTCTTTAAAACCTTTTTTCTCAGCTCGTGTGCATCGCAGGGAAAATCTACGTATACTGTTGGAAAGATAGTTTCCTGTAGATGTGCAGAATGCCTTTAAAAATTAAAATAGGCTAACAAATAAGAACAAAAAATGAATTTGAAAACTTCAAAAAATTAACATGGACCATATGGGTTGCCATGATGGTGACAAAATAACAACAACATGTAAACAGAAAATCAAAACAAATGGAGAAATTCCAATCATATGTTTTATTTACAGTGTGGGGAGAAAATAGAGAAGTCTGTACATTAATTATTTTTGGTCGAGTTTCGACCACAGGACGACCACTAGTTCATATTTAAAGGGAATTCAAGAATTTAGTCAGCTGTTTCAACTAAAAAAGTTGGTTCTATGATATGGAAAAGCATTAAAAAGTTAAAAGATTTACCAACAGAGTGCAGCACTATATTTTTTTGCATTTATGAAAACAGCTAATTTGAACTAAGCAAAACAAAAAACTGTGATTCGCAATGAGAACTGTCAAAGTAGGATTGTTTACAGTTATGTTTATGTTTTTCATTTCATGAATAATTTGTGATATTTTGCAAATTGTTGATAATTTATTTTTCTCTATTGTTTAGGTGAAGTGGTAGAACATTATGGATATGGTAGATGTGTAATACTATAGAATACTGCAAATTTAAAAAAGCAAATTTTATCAAACTGTGTCCTCCTTTATTGCAAACGCAAAGCTTGAGTATAACTGCAATAAGCATTTTATACTTATACTAGTGGTCGTCCAGTGGTCGAAAATCGACCAGAAACATATAATGCACACGTACCGTATTGACTATTTGGATACTGAAGAAGACATTCCATCTATATGGACCAGCTGTCGCTATTTTCTTTATTAAAAAACTGTAGTTGTGTAAGCCAGTTACCAAATGCGTGTCTTAAATTCTATTTTCTACCTTATTTTTGTTGCCGACAAATTTGATGGGTCAAAATAGTTTATATAGCTCATAATAAGTCATTCCATAAGTTTAACTTGGTAAAAAACATCGTGTTTTCATCAGATATTAGTCATCTACATCAGCGCAACCTGTTGGTGGCTCACATCAACTATGACGAATTAAAAATAAAACTGGTGACAACTTTAACATAGGGATGGAATGTAAAGGTACAGGCTTCTCTATTTTTACCCCATGCTGTAAATAAAACATGTGATTGTAATTTCTTCCATTTGTTTTGATTTTATCTGTTTATATTTCGTTGTTATTTCGTCTCCAGCATGGCAACCCATTAAGCCCATGTTAATTTTTTTAATTTCAAATCTGTTTTTTGTGCTTAAATTTGAGCCTATTTTAATTTTTAAAGGGATTCTGCACTTCTTCAGGAAAATATCTTTCCAACGGTATGCTTAGATTTTCCCTGCGATACACACGAGCTGAGAAAAAAGGTTTTAAAGAAACATGCTTGCCTATTAATATATAGATAGATTCAAACCCCGTACGAAGGACGGGTACTCTGCTAGTATATCTATAAGTATAAAAGAGGATGTTTGTATATTTGTTTGGCAGTGATAAACTCAGACACCGCTGAACCGATTGCCACGAAACTTGGTACATACGTGTAGAATTTCATGGAATAGGTTTATCATTAAAGTTACAAGGATTACCAACAGGGTGCAGTACTACTATTTCTTTTACATTTATGACAACAGCTAATTTGCAACCAAAAGGTGAGTGAGCGCAGCGAACGAACTTCAACCCGGAGGCGAGTTAGCGTAGTGAACGAGCTAACCTGAAGGCAAGTGAGCGCAGCGAACGAGCTCCAACCTAAAGGTGAGTGAGCGTAGCTAACGAACTTCAAGTAGGACGTGATTGAGCCATGAGAACGAGATCATCTTGAAAATTAAGAAGTTAAACGGGGCAAAGCCCGCGGGTTACAGCTAGTATATATATGTGTGTGTGTGTGAATTTGAACGGTTGTTGTTTTTGGCCTCTTGGGACCTCAAAATGAAAAATTAAATCGGTCCCGGGTCCAGGTCTTACCATGAGTACTACGGTAATAGCTCATTCCCTACATGGGAAATTCGCTAGGGTTTACCAACAGGGTGCAGCACTATATATTTTTTTAATTTATGGCAACAGCTAATTTGCAACCAAAAGGTGATTGAGCGTAGCGAACGAACTTCATCCAGGACGTGATTGAGTCATGCGAACGAGCTCATCTTGAAAATGAACGAGCATTGACATAAAACCACATTAGGTAGGACAGGACGACGTCTGTCGGGCCAGCTAGTTCTCCATAAAAACAACACGTGTATTTTACATTTACAATTTTTTTTATTATCTACGTATCTGTTAGGCATACAACAACGCTTTCTATACACTAAATAATTTCTTTTTTTAGTTCTAAAAAATAGTTTAGAAAGAAATTTTATATTTTTAGGATAAAATATGGGAAGATCCAATTTTTAACCTATAAAATCCGTTACCGCATAGTCCGAGCATGCTGGTTCGCGAACTCGTATGAATATGTGGGTTTACACATTTGTACCAAATTTAATCAAAAATCAGATAATAGTTTTTGTTAATCGCACTAACAGACATTGTATATATATGAATTTGAATGGATGTCGTTTTTGGCCTCTGGGGACCTCAAAAAAGTGGAAATTGGATAGTCAAAGTGTAAAACTAAAAAGTAAAAGTAAATCGGCTTTGGGTCTAGGTTTTACCATGACACCTAGGGGCTAATAACTTATTCCCTATTAGGGAAATTCGCTAAATTGCCAAGATTACAAAAAATGCAATATGGCATGAAAGATGAATAATACCCCTGCCACAGCAAACTTGCAGATAAAATTCCCATTTCCTTAATTAAATGTTCAATAAAATATAATTTTAAATTGTTAGATTTATACTTTCCATACTTATCTATCAAATAAACACTAGAATCTCTTGATTAAATTGGTACTAAGCATTTTATAGTATAGTGATGCTATAGGATTGTGATGGGATAACCGAATGGTTTCCATGACCGAATAATCAATCAGTTATAGGACTAAGAAGGTGAAAAAATGTATGATCAAAGAGCTAATATGATTGGTTGTTTGCCGTGGAGAAGCTACTTGTACCAACCCATGGTGGAAACCGACCAGTCCTTAGCTCTTTGCCAGATGTTTAGAGAATTTAATGTTGGATTTAAACAAAACAACATAAATACTAAAGTGGAATTTTTTACTATATCTAGTAACTGGGCTTGTTTGTAAACCAATGTTTTGCAATGTTGACAAAGAAAATATACTCGTAGATGCATAAAAAAAATTATGTTACAGGGCAAAATGAGAACCACACATCAGTCTATAATGTCACAAATGTTTAGTAGGCCTATTACAAAAATATTATTAACTTAAATCACAGTTTTTTTTTTTAATAGTTCTTAATAACTCATATATTTGTATACAAAATCAATATTTTTTCTACAAACCTTCCTATATGGATTAAATCACAACTTCAGTATATAAGACAAAAAACAGAAAACACTAGCTCAAAATATAAAAGGTAGTACATTACACAAAACAACAGTGTGATTTTTGGAATGAACAAAACAAAATATAATTTATAAGAGTACATCATTGTACTTTGTACATACCAATAAATAATTTTAATCATAAAAATATATATAAATGATAAAAATAATTGTCCTTATAAGTAAGTGCTATCATTTTACATAAAAGTATTACAGTAGATCCTTTAAATTCAACGGAACTCACCTGTTTGATTATTTATTTTATAAATTATCCTGACTAAAGAAACAGCTGGGCTTATCCCCAGTGGTATAACCATGGACAAAAGGAATTAAATATAGACCGTCAGCCGTGCTGTTACCATAAGTAAAGGCGCACACTGCTGGGAGCGCCATGTAGTTACAGCGTACGCGCTACGTAACTACATGGCGCTCCCAGCGGTGTGCGCCAGAACCTATGGTAACCGCAGCACGGCTGACAGTCTATATTTGATTCTTTTTGTCTATGATAAAATATACTACTTCAGTAGATTTGTCATCCTTATGGAACAGATGAAGCCAATTTTATTGTTAGTTTTGTACGCACTGTAGAGGTCGTGTTTTGTTTACAATTTATTTCCTGTTATTTCAGTCATTAAAAACCTCGTTTAACCAAATAAAACGATCTAATCAGAACAATAACAATAAAAAAACTCTGAAAATAGAAACAAAATTTTGTCTACTCTAGCGATCAGTGTCAACGTACATGAACTAGACACGAAAAACAAGCTTCAAAATTTACAATGGGATGAGAAGTCTACTTGTGTTGCTTAGACTATGGTATAACTAACTGGTGTTCCCTAACAACCCCAAGATAATTTATAAATGTATGAAACGATGAGTTAACTTCAAATATCTCTAACTACACCTCCCATACCTAACGCTTAAGTGGTTCTTGCTGATTTTGTACTGTTATTTCTTTAAAAAGACATTTTATATCACAGAAAAGACTTTTAAAAAGCCTATTAAACTTAGCTACTTTTTCATTACATTGTCTGAACTATGAATATGTACTTTGGTAAAATAAGATAATCGACAGAATCTCCACAAGCTTTCAACTGTACAGGAATATGGTACCAGTAACTATTCTGCAAATCGGGAAAAAGTTTAGGCCGAATTCTGCAAAGAAAACTCTGTGCCTGAAAGATTCACAGGACATTTGCAATCCTGCCGTATTCAGCTGGCAAAATGGACACCTTTCAAAACCTACCTTTCATCAAAACCCCAGTGTACAAGTCGTAACGGGTTGGTGAAACATACCCAGACCAGGGTCATCGTCATAGTACAGTGTATAGAGTAAAATAGTGCTGTGCTGTGCTTGTGCTTTATTTGAGTGAGAATGAGGGGGGAACAAGTCATGATAACCCTTAAGCTCCGTAATTAGATTTTGTACAGAAGAGTAACATAACAAAACTTCTACTTTAATTATTCATAAGAGTATAGGAGTAAACTCAACTCGGAGTTTGGTCCACGAGGTCCCGGGTTCAAATCCCGCCAAATCACCAACGGATTTTATCTAAGTGATAATGCCACAAGCTCTGGGTCTAGCCTGAAGTAATGTGAAAAACAATTCCAGGCTCGCGCCTAGTGTACTAGGACAAAAAAAGAGTAAACTCAACAAAAAACAAAAAACCATACATATAACGGGATTTGACGGGCCTGGGATTTGACTCTATAAAAAACTAAACTTGGGCTCTGGTTGATCAGTGCAGTAGTTAGGTCTGATAGGCCAAGCAATGTGCAAGGTGTTGCATCGGGCTAGAAGACAACACCGAAGATTGAGGGATCAAATCCAGTCTCAGCTAGGTCTAATTTGCCACTGTTGAGGAGTTCACTGTCGGTGGCAAAGCTTAGTGGGAGATGCTGGCAAAAAAAATGGTAAATGGGTCGGGTCGAAGTAGACGGGATGAATGGAATGTTCATGAGTAACAACTTAAATCAGGAATGTTGCTCCTTTAGTAACTCTTGCTGTGTGTCCACAGAAAACTTTATTTTGAGTTTTGTATTAGTTAGATGAGGAAATATTGTCTAAAAATAAGCATAACTAAATCAATGAATAATCCATACAGTTCAAAGGTTAAAAGCTTGCAGTTAAAAAAATCTTATGAATATAAATTAAAGTTAACAAGAGTCAACTGCACCAATTAATAAATACAAAACAGTGTTATTTAAAACCACTAAATGTAAACTCATTAAAAAAAAAAAAAAAAAAAAACAGAGGATACACGTCCGGTTACTGGGCGTGGATTAGGCGTCCGGCAGTGATGTCACCGGGCTGTGGGGGCCCGGAACGCCATTACCACAACGATATGATGTACAGCCATTGGTGATGGTGGTGTAGTGGATAGAGTGCTCGGCTGATAACAAAATGCAAGAGGTCCCTGATTCAAATCCCCATCGGTAACTTTAACTTTTTGTCAAAGATTTTGCTTTGAATGCCATTCTTCTTAACTGTACATCTTTTGTTAGAATTTTTGGCATTTATAATTTTATTTTATGAAAAGAATTTAACCTTCATTCGATTTTTTCATTATCAGCAAGTTTGGTTGGTTTGGTTAAGTTATGACAGTAACTGCCGGACGCCTTATCCACGTCCGGTTACCGGACACGTATCCTCTGCGTTAAAAAAATCATGTTCTAAGACATAAGTAATTATCATCTCCTTATTTTAAGGCCTGAGATTTTCTTTGGAAGATTTACTTGGAATAAACTCATAACTCATTCTTTCCTCTTGAGTAATGATTTTTCCGCTCTTGCCTCTGAATCTCTTCTATCGTGAAATCAACTCTTGAATGAATATGTCGACACCCTTCATAGGCGTACAAATGGTGCTCTGGAGGATTAAAGGTTAGCTCTTCCAATATTTCTCTGCAAAAAGGAAAAAAACTATTGAAGAAACTGTAAACTGTCGTATACAGAGGTACAATAGTTGGTGTACTATAATAAAAAATAGTGAATACAGAATGAGGTTTTGGTTTCAAAATAGTAAATATTATTTTTATACAGACTTAATACAAGGCATGGGTAAGTTATTTGTGAACCCATGGCTACTGTATAGACATTTCATAAAGAAAATTACATACTTTACTGTTTGATCCAGGACATGATCTGGTACCTTGCCCTTTTCTCTAAACACTGTCTCGATGCATAACTTGACGTGCGGTCTTTCCAGTGGCAGAAACGGAACTATATAATCTATCAAATGGTGTCTTATTAAATCACTCTGATAAAAACCTCCTGAAAAAAAGTAAATTGCTAGAGCTATCAAATTAACATTTAAAAACGCTTTTAAAACCAATTTAATCATTAAAGCAGGGTATTCTTAAGTAAAATAATCCTGCAATAATCAAGAAATAGGTTCAGCAGATGCAGGCTACTAAAGCGTTAAGTGAGTAGGGGACCATACCTAATAATTTAGACTGTGTTTGACATAGTTTATACAATCTACAAGAAATTAAAATACCTGGCACATGTAGCTAATTTAGATGTATTTCAGCTTGGAAAATGGTAAATTGAACATACATAAAAACTGTAAAGGTTTGCAGGCATTATTATAATAATATAGGCCTAAACATGTCATCCTCCTTTTGGGATTTGACTAAATATATAGTGAGGAGAAGAAGAAAATATGTTATGACGTCGACAACAACATGGCAGAGAGATCTGTTCAGTTGGGTAGATCCCCATTTTAGTGAAAAATTTGACTTTTGGTTTTGTGGGTAACTTAACCAAGTTTCTTCCTGACAGAAAAAATTATATATAGTAGAGCCTCAATTATTTGAATCCTGGTCATCTGAAATGCTGGTTAACAGAAATTCTGAATACCAGTCTTGTCTCAACCACAGGATACAATCACCGGTTGCTAAGACCGCAAGATAAACTAACGGGTTTCGCCGTCACTGCGGGAAACATTCAGCGCTGAGACAATACAAAAGAGAAAAGATGCATGTAAACAGGTAAAAAATATATTTAATTATTATCAAGGTTAAAAAAATGTATCTCATTTTTACTTTCAATGACCAACCATCCTAAAAAAATCACTTATTCGAACACTCATAATGATAAATTGTTTTTGATAATCGACTCTTTACTGTATGAATAAAAATTTTGCAACGTTGGCTAACAGAAAAATAAAATAAAACATTGCCAACTTTTACACTGATGATTGAATAACTGAAAAAAGTACATGACATTACGAAAAGACATGGCGAATAGACAAAATAAAGAAACCAGTGTCAAATACATCTTTATTACCTTCACAATTGAAAGAATGTTTTCTTATAGGCTGTTCAAAATCAGACAGCTTGAAGTCCTCACGATCGATCCCCTTTAGCCACTTTTGTAAGGAAATTTGTGAGATAAGTGGACCGCCTATGTTGGTCATAAAAATAAATATTGCCTTTCTGAAACAAAAATGATGAAACATTCAAAGTCAATAAGGAACAAACCATGACTAAAAAACAATGTTGCTTGGATGTTGAGATTTACGCAAACTATCTATTTATGGTCTAAGTATAACAGGCAAAAACGTATAACAGGAGGGGAGCGCGGCAGTGGTCCGAAAGTAAGTACTCCGAAAGGCACTGGTCCGAAAGAAATTACATGGTCAGGCACTGCTTCGAACGGCATAAGTTCGAAAGGCACTGGTTCGAAAGTCACAACTCCGAAAGTCACTAGTCAGAAACATTTTGTGCATCCAGGCACTGGTCCGAAACAATATGTGCATCCAGGCACTGCTCCGAAAGTTATAACACCGAAAGTCACTAGTCAGAAAAGAATGCAAGGGTCAGGCACTGGTCCGAAAGAATGTGCGTGGTCAGGCACTGCTTCGAAACGTGGTTCCCCCTCGCAGCGAATGGGCGGAGCTATACAGGTGTGGAGTGGGAGCAGCCTCCCGTCCCCCCTACCTCTTGACACGCCCCTACTTTTTGGCGCGGTGACGACAGTGTCTGTTAGTCACTTCTCACTTCACTCAATCACTCTACGTTACCACCAGGACCAAGACCAGGGGCAGTTGACATCGGGGATACTTCCCAGGATAAATTTTCCTTAACAATGTTGCTATGTTTTTAGTGAAGGAATTATTCCATAAAAAAAGTTGTGTAACCTTGATAAAATTGTACTTAAGGGTACGCTCGTATTTCAGCGTATTTCAGAGCTCGTATTTCTCAATACGTAGTTGCTTAACGCCGATGTTCCTATAGCTACCATTACATTGAACAGCGCCATGAAGAGCGCTTGCAATCCTTTCGAATCTGGGCCATTACTTCGTACTTAAACTTTTTAATAAACTAACTGCAGATTCTTGTTTTTCTCTAAAAATTATCTGTATGTGTTAAAACTAATCATAGAAAAACGCGTAGCCTACGGAATTTCAACATTTTTACCAATCTTTGAGTCCAAAATAAGCTGATTACCTACATTAAAATTGACGAAATATATGACACCAAGATCTTTTAAATCGGTTCACAATTGGGGCTACAAACAGATAGAACTAAGCCCCTTGCATTTGCACTCGCCAGACAGGTAGAGCGCAGCCTTTAGGTTATTGTAATGAGTTTCTATTAAAGGAACCTTTATAGAACTTAAGTTATATAGCCAGTATTATACTAACATAAACATAATTAAATTCCCGTAGATAAAAACCAATCTTAAAGTTTCTATGTGGATTATTCCATATGAATTATTCCATATCACTGAAAATGTGTGTAACCTTTGTAATCACTAGATAAAATTGTCCTTTATGTTATTGTAATGCAACCTCTATAGAACTTAAGATATCTTGCCAAATAAATATAATTAAATGCCCATGCATAAAAATCCAATCATAAATTTGCTATAGTAAGTTATTATATATCTCTTAAATTTATATTGTTATCAAGAAATCTTACTAATATTATAAATGTGAAAGTTTGTGTGTTTGTTTGTTTGTTTGAAGTTCAATCACGCATTAACTACTGGATTGATTGGGCTGAAATTTGGCATGATGATAGCTCTCATTCCCGATTAACATATAGGCATATTCTTATCTCAAAAATCCTTTCGGACTCCGCCCCAGTGGCTCTGTAGTTCCCCATGTTAACCTTATGAGTAATCATATTTAAAGGGAATTAAAGATTTTAGTCAGCAGTTTCAACTAAAAAAGTTGGTTCTATTCTATGATATGCAAAAGCATTGAAATAAGATTTACCAACAGGGTGCAGCACTATTATTATTATTTTTTTTTTTAATGAAAACAGCTAATTTTTACCAAGTAGCAACAAAAAACTGTGAACGAAAAGCTTGATTATAAATGCAATAAGCATTTTATATTTATATGCCGACCCCGTACGAAGGACGGGTACTCTGCAAGTATATAATATATTTGCAATTAGTAGCCTACTAATGCATTTTATGTTAATTTTGCTGAATACACGACCTATGATTTATTATTACAATCTAAACAGAAAAAGGTGACACAACTGGATGTTTCTGAAAGTTTCCTAAATTTTGTTTTCTTGATCTTTTTATTGACATCTGTTTTAATAGTTCTAAGGATTTGCCCCGTAGAACCATCACAAAAAAATATATTAACACATAACAACATGTTTAATCTCCGAATAAACATGTTGAATAAACATCTTAACTTATTAGTTAAGTGGCAAAGTAGTAAAAGTCCAGTCAAATTGTCGTGGAAATCTACCTCACGTTACAAAAAATAACTGTTATGGGTTTTTTCTTAACTTTATGTTTTTTTGGGCGCTGAATCCGAATCTGAAGAGATCCAACACTCTCTTCAAGCCACTTACTACTAGTCCAGGCAGTGCTGCTACCTTTGGGTGTTTCAGGGAACTACGTCCAATCTCGGGGTAACGTAGTACGATCACCGCTTTTGTTATTCATCAGATTGAAATATTCTAATGCCAATTGCGTTCGCTACGGTGCCGCACAAGCACACATTTCACCTGCATGTCCCTTAGTAGATTTATGCTTTTGATTCGGCTGTAGATAATTATTAAGATAAATTGTTTAGAGAACTGTTACCGGTTGGGTATCGTAAATGCAAATGCAATTATCTGCTTGCAATATTGAGTGGGCAAGCATTTCAATCCATTCCAAAGTCAATGCCACATCTGTGCAGGATCATAAGTCAAGTGTTAAATATAGGGGTCTGACTTACGGGAAGTATAAGTGAGGCAACAATGACGTCATAGTTTAGTTCAAAATTCCTCCGTGAACAGTGTTGTAGTAGAGAGCACAGCGCGTAATTTTTACTTCACAATTAGTTACAGTAATTATAAAATTAAGAAAAATTATAAAATTAATCTTACAATATTTATATTATTAAATTAAACTGACATAACCTAACCAACATAACCAAACGTGCTGGTAATGAAAAAATCTAATAAAGGTTTACTAATCTAAAAATTATTTTTGTTCATAAAATAAAATTATAAAAGCCTAAAATTCATTTATAATTTTTTTATTATGAAATTAAACTGTCATAACTTAACCAAACCAACCAAACTTGCTGATATGAAACCTACTTTTGATAAAAAAAAGTTGGTGCTACGGGCGGGATTCGAACCCGGAACCTGCAGATTTACAGCCCGACTTGCTATCCACTACACCACCGGGGCCGATGGATGGATTCCGTATCGTTGCGGTAATGGTGTACCCATTACCGCGTATTCCCGTATTAAAAATACTGGCGGACAGTACGAAAATGTACAATAGATTATGATTAATGAAAATACTGTCGGTATGGCACTTAAATGCCTACCTACAAGTCCACCCAACACTTCCAAGAGGGTCGTGGCATTACCACGTAGATAAAATCCATTTGTTATTGGTGGGATTTGAACCCGTGCTATAAGACTCCGGAGCCCCAGGTCTTACCATTAGACCATCTCGCTCCCCAGTAGATATCTAACTAAACATTTTAGTAAAATGTTATCCTGGATGTTTTTCTTAACTAAAAAAATTACAAGCGTAATTTATTATCAAAGGCTTATTTGAAATCAAGAGTTATAAAACTAAACCATACTGTCACAAACCTAATGCAATTAAAAAGGTTTAATTGCAAACTGTGTGCAAAGGTGTGCATGTACTACATGAAACACGTAGTCTACATTTTACCTGGTTATATATCACAATTTAACTTACAATTTAATTGACAGTTCGTATATCTGTAGGTCACAAGTTGACGTACTATACCTTGTTTATGTTTAACTGTAGCTCTAGTTAGCGCCTATAATTGACGATAGTGTAAATGGCTTACTGCTGGCAGGAAAATGATGTTTCTGTACAGTAATTAGTGACCGATAGTACAAAGAAATAATATCATGTGGATCACGTTCCCTTTTTATATATGGTGTATTACATGCACTTGTTTTCAGTTAGCGTCCATAATCAACGGTAGTACAAAGGGGTTTATGAAGAAATCAAACATATTCCTGTATTAAAATTACTGACGGACAGAACGACAATGTACTATATATTATAATTAATTACTATTCTGTTGGTATGACACTTATGGCCAGACAAGTCAACCCAACACTTCGACTTTCTAGATAGTGGCGTGTTGTCGGGGTAGCATCTTGACGACATCCCCTTACTGTTAGAAGAGTATCAAAATTTGTTCTATCTTCTCAGTTTTCTAATTATAATTCACTTTATTAATTTACTTTACGCGTTTACTTTAACATTCGAATTTTGTTATTGTTTGAGGACTTACAACTATTTATGTTTTACATATGTTAAGGGAGTTGAATTTTTATTGAATAGGCCTACCTACATTTTAAAATGTATTTAGATGTGTTTACTTCATTTTCTTGTAGCAGTGGCAATCGCTTTACTCATTGAAACTAGCATCCAATTAAGTTTCATCTGAGGATTCAAAGCATTTGGTTAGGTATTATGTTATGGTGTCTCTCATTTGCTTTCTTATGTTTCCAGTTATTAGTCTTTAAAAGGAATTAAACGTAGGCGACCAACCGAAATAAAAAGACTTATTCATCATCAATATTTATTCATACTGTGTTGTATAATCTAATTCCTACGGGAATAAATGAAATGCTAAGTTCCTTCCTATAGGTAACGTAACTGTAAGTTTTCTTTTCAAACAGGTGCATTAAACAATAATGTATCGTTATCTTAAAAAACAAACGAACGAGATCTAATAAATAGTAATCAATACCAACACTTGGATATAATTTTAGCAAGTTTCCCAAAAGAGAATAAGTTATTACCGTAGCATTCTAATAATAGGATATTGCTAATCTTAGGTAAGTTGGTGTTTTTGGATAGGCCACATTGATTTCAATTAAGAAGCTAAAAAAATAATAGCAATGTTAACTTCGCATATCAGACGGAATGAGCTATACAACTGGCATAATTAAATTTATATAATACTATATGGATAGGAAAACTAACAGTACCTAATTAAAATAAGGGGTATGTTTACGAAAAAATCGACTTACTCGTTATTATTGTGTTTAAACATGTAAAATATAATTTATTTCTACATAGCTTTCTGCATTTAACTATAACTTTTTTTTTCAAAATTACTTAAAAACTGTTGTCTAACTATAGGTAGATTGAAATTCACTATTTATTTTTCCAGAAAACATGGGATATTTTTTTAAAAGGATAAATATATACTGAAGAAGATTAAAGGATTAGTTTGACTTACATAGGATTTTTTTAACATTTAATAATTGATCTGCAAATATTTTACAATTAATTACATAACATCATTATACGACTAATCTATTCCTATCAGTGTTTAAAGGAGGCTCGGGATTGGAAGAAATCGCTCCGATGTTTCGTTTCGATTTCAATTCCACTGTCTCGATTCCAGACAGACGACACAAGGCGTTATATTCGGACCTCGGCTATATTCGTTATGGTTCGGAAGCGCTCGGGATGGCGCGGTGGTGCTGGGTTATTCCTCCAGAGAAGGTCTCGTCAATGACCGTGGCATTCTGACTCCACCCACCACTGACACACCCCTCCTTCCCCTACAACGGGTCTCCGCCTTCGGTTCTTGCTCCTCCCTCAACCAATGTTGGAGCCCAGGCGTTACTCCGAAAGGCAGTGGTCAGAAAAGAATGCATTGCTAAGGCACTGGTTCGAAACAATCTGCACGCTCAGGCACTGCTCCGAAAGACAGTGGTCAGAGAGGCAGTGGTTCGAAAATAATACAAAGATGAGGCACTGGTCCGACAGATTTAGCATGGTCAGGCACTGCTCCGAAAGGCAGTATTCAGAAAGGCAGTAGTCCGAAAATGATTTTCGAACCAGTGCCTTTCGGAGCACTGCCTTTCGGACCACTGCATGGATCTCAACAGGAGCTTTTGTTTAGTGGATCTGTTAGATCGGCTAGTCTTAGGTGTCATCAATAACCGGAGAGATGTATTTAAATGGAATAAAAAGCATATTAATCCCTCATATGAATTTCAGTTCAACAATCTTTTACAGATACAATATAAAAATACCAGTGTCATAAACACAGGAGAAAGATTAAATAGGCAGGGTCCTGTAGCTAGACTTGATTGTATGAAAAAATAACTAAGTGAAATCAAATATTTAGGGATAAAATTGAGGGTTACTACTTTTTTTTTAATACATGGAACTCAGACCTATTTTATTTACTTAAAATACCCCCGCCGCAGCAAACCTACAGACTAAGCGAATTTCAACTTGTCTGATTACATTTTTACTAAAATATTTCCATAAATAAGACATATTTATTCCCAATTTAAATAACATTAGATTTAACCAGTGCTTAGGTTTCCTGCTACGGGGAAGGTAAAAAGTGTTTTTTGACCATATGTCAATAGTATAGAATGAAATAAATAAATTTGCCAAATTTTATCAACATACATCCATTAACAAGTAAACTACAACAGTTTTCATTTTCTCCATAAGAATCACATGGGAATTTTAAATTACACTTTTTTGAATTTTCTCCATGACCGTTAGGCATAAAACAGCGCTTCAATATACTAAATTATTTCTTTTTTTAAGCTCTACAAAATGGTTGAGAAAGAAATTGCAAAAATTTTTATTTTTAGGGTTAAAAATGGGAAAAACCTATTTTTACCCCATAAAACCCCCCATAAACCCCTGTTCCCATGGTCCAATTATGCTGGTTCGCGAACTCGTTAGAATAAATGTAGTTTTACACGTTTGTAACAAATTTCATCAAAATCGGATCATTTTTGCTCGAGTTATCGCGCTAACGGACATATATATATATATATATATATATATATATATGAATTTGAACAGATGGTGTTTTTGGCCTCTGGGGACCTCAAAACGAAAAAGTAAATCGGTCCCGGGTCTAGGTCTTACCATGAGACCTACGGTAATAGCTTATTCCCTATATGGGAAATTCGCTAAAAGCTACAAAAACAGTTTTATTAAAAGTAGAGAGGAAAAATTATGATAGTCGTGATGAATAGTAAATAGGAGGGTTGTCTGAAAAATTAAGGTCTTCATCGAGCTCGGCCACAGTCAAGTTACTGAACCGACCCTATCAGTCTTGTTTGAGACAGTGGCCAAAGTTAGAAGAATTTTGTATTTGGATCTCAATATAATTGCAAAACTGATAGGGACTTGATAAGAGTTGTTAAGTCGCATCTCTACTATGCTAAATGGCATACGTCGGCATTGCCGAGTAAAAGGTGTGGACACATGACCGACTTTTGCAGATAGGAGATGCCACGTTCGGACAGGTTGTCCGTCCAGATCAAAAGAAGCTGTACGGCAGTCATCACCATAGTGGGAATACGGTTTAAACAGTAAACCCTGGAGTCTTAAACTAGCCAAACAACAAGTGAAGCTTCCCCAACTTTGACACAATGATTTCTCCATGGAAATTATACTGTCAGTTTGCTGTGAAAATGTGTGCGGTTTTCTGTGATCTCCATATTATCATTAGCAATTGAGATGGGGACGCCATCAATCTATGTTTATAATTTAACCAAAATGTGAGTGAAGGAAGAGTGTAGAATGGAAGATGATCCGTGTAAATTTGTTACAGACTATGATCAGCTGTAGCCAGGTTCATTTTAAAGCCCAATGACAGCTGGGTCCAGATTCGAACAATCAAAAAGCTACAGACTTTTCTCAGGATTGGTCCGGCAACCTTTAGATAGTTAGACAATAATAGTTCTTAAGCGCAGCAATTCGCTCTGGGAAACGCTAGTTACAAACTAAAATTTGAAAATTTAAATACCTGTAATCGTAGCCATCGATGTGAGTGTTGTAATCAATGTAAGGCTTGATCGCGTCCAGCACATATGGGGGGTATTTGTCCACCTCATCAAACACAAAAATGGATCTTTGGCACAAACTTATTTTTTCCTGTAAATCTTCTTGTAGTCTCATCTGTAATACATCCATAAAATGTCAAAGTACCCACATCAGCACTAACCCACCAAAAGTCAACTAATTGTTCAAATTGGTAAAACAATATAGGAACCTAGGAAGTTCAAAAGATCACGAATCAAACATGCCATTTCATTGTGGTTGAAGCCTCTATAACACATTCACGCACATAGCAAATGTTATCTCCTCACTTGCAAATACTCTTTTAGATGTTATAACAAATACAAAATTAAACTATAAGAAATGTGCATTTGGCAATCTGCCCTTGAATAAACCTCATCTTAGGATGGATGGATATTTTTCATTCTAATTTTACTTTTCTCGATTTTATTATACTTGCAGAAGCTTACCTATCAATATTCAAGATTCAAAATAATTTTAAGAAATATACTAGGTGTAGTTAGATGTAAAAGTAATATGTTTTCAAGCATGTTAAGTTAGTTAAGTTTGGTTAGGCCTAGTTAGTTGGTAAATCCAAGAAACAACTATTAGGGTGTTACTTTTATATCTTCAATATAATTTTAATCTTTTGAGAAATAAAAGATTAGAAAATCTTACCTTGTATTCGTCAACCTTGACTTTATCGTTGCTTGGGAAGTCTTTTAGAGCAAAATATGTTTTAACAAACTTACTTCTTTGTCCTTCCCTAAACCAATGTTCCAATATAAAATCTTTAACAAATGTTTTTCCTCCCCCTGGCCACCCATGGAAGCTTAAGACTAAAGGTTTCTTGTGGTTTGTCTTTGATAAATGGTTTTTCAGCGCTGTTAGAATGACTCTTACAGCTAAATCTTGACCAAAGACTTTTTCATAAAGGACTTTCTCTAAACCTGCAAAAAAATATTACAGTCACGTCACTTGTTTCTAAATCTGAATTCCACTGGCAAATAAATTTTAACTGTCCAAATTTCACAATTTTAAAATCGATCGTATAGGGCCATTATAAAAAAAAAGATTTTAAATACGAACCAAATTTTAAACATTATTCACTCTTAATCAAGAGAATGCATAATTTCAAATAGGGGTAGGCCTATAAAATTGACAAAGCAACTGTAAGTTGATATCAATATGTCGATTCACCAGTAAACGTTAACCCTTGCTAAGCGGTGGTTGCAGGGCGAAGCTCTACTATCTATGCGATCAATAATTTGGTTCAACTTTAACCATCAGATAGAAGTGGGAAAACATAACAATTTCTTTATAATTTTTTTTAATTTTTTTTTATAAATTTTGATGTTTTCCCACTTCTATCTGATGGTCAAAGTTCTTTATAATTTTTTTAACCAGTTAAAAAAATTATAAAGAAATTTTGATGTTTTCCCACTTCTATCTAATGGTTAATCAAATCAAATCTTTTTATTGTCTTTCAGCTCTACAAAAGCAATTGACATTGTCAAATGACATCTTATCATTAAAGCATTAAACATAGTCATAGAATAAATAACAGGAACCTTGATCTTAAATAAATTATTTAAAAACTTATATCTAAAACCTCCAAGGACAAGAACTTATCTACAGAGAAAAAACATTTTAATTTTAACCATGAATCAAGGACTGTTTTGAATTTTTTTATTGGAATCGTTACTGCAGAAGGGGGCAATTTATTAAAAAATTGTATACTAAGATATTTGTAGCTATTGTGTGTAAGTGTAAGTCTTGTAAGTGGTAAGTTGAGATGATGGCTATTTCTTGTGTAATGTTTATGTATGTCAGATCGGATGCTATGCTGGTCTATATTCTCTTTTACGTATAATAAGCAATTTAAAATGTATAAAGATGGAAGGGTTAGGATATTTAGGGCCTTAAAATCTGCTTTGCAATCTTCCCTGGGCATTGTTCCTCTAATGCACCTGACTGCTTTCCTTTGCCATTTGAAAATGGTTTTGGCTCCTACAGAGTTAAGAGAACACCATATTGTAGGTGAGAATGGAAAAATGTGTAATAACAATTCAGAATAATTTGATCACTTACATTGTTTTTTAATTTGTTAAATAAAAATACAGTTCTAGCCAATTTACTACATAAAAAGTTTGTATGCTCAATCCAATTCAGATTCTTTTCAATATGGATTCCTAGCAATTTTACTGATTTATTGTCATTAGAATTTATTTTAAGGTTAAAATGAATTTATTCTGTTTTTGAGTTGTTAATCCTTAATTCATTTCCCCGAAACAACTCTTCAGCCAACTTTAACACCCCATCCCGTTCTTCAAGTGCTTTGTTCATATTTTGACCACTTGTGAGGAATGTAGTATCATCAGTATTTAAAGAGTGGTTTTACAGGGAACAAAACAAGGCAAATCATCAATAAAAACAATAAAAAGTAGAGGCCCAAGGACTGATCCTTGAGGTATGCCAATTTTGATTTTTAACATATTAGATCTTGAATTATTTACCTGCACTAGCTGGAAACGGTTCACTAAATATGAGCTTAACAGATTTAATGAATTTTCAACTACTCCGTAAAAAGAACATTTTTTAATAAGAATTTCATGAGAGACTGAGTCAAAAGCTTTAGCAAAATCAATTAATGTTGCAGACATATTAATTTTACCATCACAACCGTTAAAAATATCTGTGATTATGTTTTCCAAGGCCTTGATTGTGGACAAATTTGATCTAAAACCAAACTGACTATCACAGAACAAGTTATTTTCTTCAAAATGTGAATAAATTTGTTGGTTTAGGCAGTGTTCTAATATCTTAGAAAGAATTGGCATTAGAGATATCGGTCTGTAATTATTTGGGTCAGTTTTTTCCCCTTTTTTGAAGATTGGTATTGTAACTGATATTTTAAGACATTCTGGAAAAATTTCTTGTTCAATCATCATATTATATAGAATGGTAAGTGGATATATCAAAAGAGGGCCTATCTTTTAGCGAATTTCCCTATAGGGAAGTAGCTATTACCGTAGGTGGCACGGTAAGACCTAGACCCGGGACCGATTTACTTTTTCATTTTGATGTCCCCAGAGGCCAAAAACAACATTCGTTCAAATTTTTATATATGTATATAGGCCTATATATATATATAGACTTATATATATATATACGTCCGTGAACGCGATAACTTGAGTAATTTTTGGCCGATTTTGATGAAATTTGGTTTAAAGGTTTAAAGCGGGATAAACTTGAATGAGTTCGCGAACCAGCACGATCGGACCATGGGAACGGGGCTTTACGGGGGGTTTTATGGGGTAAAAATTGGTTTTTCTCACTTTTGACCCTCAAAACACAAAATTTCCCGATTTCTCTTTAGACCTTTTTAAAGAGCTTAAAAAAACAAATAATTTAGTATATAAAAGTATTTTTGTTCAATTATTAGTAACGGAGAAAATTAAAAAAATTGTAAATTTTAAATTCCCATGTTATTCTTATTGAGAATATTGTCAAATGTTGTAGTTTGCTTGTCTATGGATATATTTTTATCAAACTTGGCAAATTTATTTATTTTGTACTAAGCTATCAATATTTTACTCAAAAACACACTTTATTAGTTTCCTTGTAGCAGCAAACCTAGGTACTCGTTAAACCTAATGTTATAAAAATATATTTAACTGAAAATCAATTCAGACAAATGGAAATTCGCTTAGTCGGCAGGTTTGCTGCGGCGGGGGTATTTGATTACATAATTGGAGAAGCCATAATAGTCTTCAGCCTTAGAACTACTTAGTAGTCTATTAATGGACTCTATAATATTTAATTGGGAGATTGGTGACCATTGGAATTTTGTATCAACCTTTCTTGAAGCTGAGAGTAGAGCAATAGGGTCCCTTGCACGTTGTCTGTTAAGTGAAATGTTATTATTCAGTGGTAAACAAGCAGAATTTACAAAACTATAGCCTAATTTAAAACATTTATATCAACTGGAACAGAATTTTCCATCTTAGAATCATTGATTTCATTCTTTATTACATTCCAAGCAGCCCTAACTTTATTTTTTGAATTTGCAATGTAGGCCTACTCATCATTAACCTTGCGCTTAGACAATTTTATTTCATGTCTATAAATTTTTCTCAGTATTAAATAATTTAATCTATTTAGTTCACTCAAGTGAGACTTGTCCTTATATATGAGAAGCATTATTCTTATCCTTTGGAGGCGATCAGTGTACCACCATAGATAAAACATACTCCCTTAGTAGATTTCCCATCCTTATGGAACAGCTGAAGCCAATTTTATTGTTAGTTCTGTCCGGTTTTCTGTAGAGGTCGTGTTTTGTTTACAATTTGTTTCCCGTTATTACAGCCATTTAAAACCTCGTTTAACCAAATAATACGATCTAATCATAAACAATAACTTGTCCCCTAGTTATATAACCAAACAGTAAAGCACAAATCAAGAAATTAACCCTAAAATAATAGAAACAAAGTTTCGTCGTCTCTAGCGCCTTTGTGTCACGTACATGAACTAGACACGAAAAACGTGCTTCAAAATTTACAATGGGATGAGAAGTCTACTTGTGTTGGTTAGTCTATGGTACCACTTAGAGCTATGTTGAGATGCTTGCTTGATATTGTGTTTATTGTTTAATTTAGTAACAATGGGACAGTTTGATTCAAAAATTAATTTTAAATTGTTAATTATAATCAAAACATGTATCTATATTATTATTAAAGGGATACAATTCATATGACCAGTCAACCATATTTAAATCATTTTGAAATGAATTAATAGCTTTGTCACTTAATATAGGCTAGGTACTTTAAAGTTGATTGTAGACACCTTTTTTATAAAAATAATTCTTTTACAAGTTTAGTGGCATAAATAGTTGCGTATATATATAGGCTCATACGTTCAACTCTCGCCAAGGAATGCATTTATGTGTAATATAGGCTACGTCTTAAACTTGCAAACTTTGTTTAGGAAAAACAGTAGGCCCCTAATTTATTTCTTGGTGTTAAATTAATGTTAAAAAGATAACGAAATTAAAAAAAAATATATGTTAAAAACAACATGTCTTCTTTATTATTAGCCTACTAAAAGATCGAACATACTTATGTTATGTTATCTAATCATAATAGGCCTATGATAACATGCAAAATATTGGTTTGGATCATTAAATCTAAAACGACATTTTCAATTTAACTTAATCATCACAAGACATTATATTTCTTAATGCACTGAATATGCTAGCCTATAATCCATTAATCTTATTTGCATGTGTGCTTTTGTGGGTATGATTTACTTCACTCAAGAAGGTGCTCAAACAGACTGTGCTGTGCAAAACAATAACATGAGGATGACTCAGCCAGCAGGTTTTGTAAGTTAAACAATAGATGTTACAAGATCAGCAATGCTAAGACACCATCACAACAATATTGATTAATGGCCTAAGGTCGACAGTCAAGAAACAACTTTAAAACACCTAAGTTAAATGTTGTTTATACGTTAAACGTATATGTGCGTCATATGCTTTTAACCTTCAGATTTAGTTGCATATACGGCCAATGCTCGCTTCTGGAAAGTGTCGTTGACATATAAGCTAAATACGGCAAACACTCAGGAAGGGTTAAGGGCCAATCAACATCATTATCATTACTTTAATGTCCTTATAAAACACGCCTAAGTTACCTTTAGAAGTGTAAGAGAAGAGCGATCGAGACCTTGTTAAGTTACTAGATAGTGCTAAGCTTCAAACTAGCCTATATATAGGACTTACCCGTTATGTTGCAAGTAACCCATCTTGAATCACATTGTTCAGCATATAGACTAACTACCGGTGATAAAATATCAAACACAGAAAATCCACTACTAACATGAAAAACTGAAATAAATACATGAAAAATGTAATGTAATTTCATTACTTATGTAATTACAAAATATTGAATGATATGAGCATACGTTTGTCAACTTAGTTAGGAAGGCCTAGATAAACACAAAATGAAAACTGTGTGTATGATTACTTTTTGAGCAAATATTTTATACTACATCAGTTAATATATTAATTATCTAAACTGGAAACAAACTAAATAAACGTCATATAAAATATATACAACAGATCCGGGTGCTATAAAATGATTATTAAAGTAAACATAACCTACAAGTAATGCACAATAACATAATTCAAAATCAACCAAAGTCCAAAACTGAACTGACGTCTGCCGTCTGCCGCTCCGCTTCGCTTCGCTGCGCTGCCCGTTTTCAAGTTTTCATTACTGTTACTTGGTAGCTTGAAAGTCTTATGTTTCATGTAGCTTCAATGTTTCATGATACAAAATTCACTTAGATCATAGATTAACGTACATTTTCCAGAGAGAATACTGACAATGTTTAGTAGGTCTTTTCCCTTACAAGTGTTTTTTTCCGTGTAGATTGTAATAAAAGGATTGGTGAATAAATAATCATTGTGCAGTAATGCATTATATCACTGACAAGGGAAACACAAATTTTATTTCCTTAGTCAACGATTATATCAAGTGCCAAATGAGATGATAGATTTTAAAGTGTAAAGATTTTTGGTAAATGATATATATTTTCTCTTTCAGTGTCACATACACTGATATGGTACGAATAATCAATCGATCATACATCTCCCAAGTATACCTAATCCATATGAGGGCACTAAGGCGTCCGAATTAATGAGAGAGGGGCGCGCTTTACCCCTGACGCGCAACCGAATGCAAGGGTTTGCAAGATTTCTGTTTTCACCTGCTACATTGAAGGTAGAATCAAAGTTAAGGTCTCATATTAAAGAGGATGAAATTTCCTATAGTTCTTTGTTTCTATATTTCAATTATTTTAAATACACACCTTATAAACTTGAGTTGTACTACAAGAAAAGAGGGTCTTTTCAACTAGCCTTAACTTATTAAAAAAACGTTTTTTGAACATTTGAAAAACGCAGAACTATAGATTGGTCTTTGTACTACTATAAGCCGTTTAGAGTGCGTAGCTATCATTATTTGTTAATTCTAAAACAGTAATCTTGGAAACGTCTGCAAGCGCTTCTCGCGGCACTGTTCAATGGTGAAACATAGCTACTGGAGCCCGAGCTGAGATTTCCGAGCCGAGGTAAAGCGCACCCTTAATGTGTGCCCCAATACATATCGTTCATAGGTCGGACCACACTAAATACTCGCTTGTGTTAATTATTAGTCTAGGGTGGAACTCCATCACACCAATGAAAGGTGCTTAGATCGTATGCTCCAGCCAAAGAAATCTACCGAAGGCGATGCGGTCGCACAATATTTTTCCCGAGCATCCCATTTTATATTCTGCGCAAGCCGCACGTCACTTCAACCGAGTGATGGGAGGATAGAATTCTATACATCTTAGTACAGACCTGTTTTCTAATACTGTACTTGATTTCAAATTATTCAAACTATATTACATCCTGAATGGAGCTCCATACTAAAACTCAGAATGTGGCTTAATATGACAAAATAAAGTACTGTGGCTCGTTTATTATAACAGTACATAATAAATAATAGTATTATACGTAGTAACATAACTAAGAGTGTATACAATGCCAAATGATAGCAGTGCTCTCACTCATTTAACTAAATAAATGCACTTACAGAGCCAGCTCTCTGATGATGTATCACCATGAGGGATATGCAGTATAATCAATGTCAATTAATTTTAATCCTCATATTGGAGGAGTAGAAAAATTGGTGAACCTAAACATATGACTATGTAAATATTAATGTTAATAGATTAACCCAAAATAAAAATAAATATGGTATCACTGTTAAAGATATACCAAGAATTTGCGAAATTTAGACATTGAAATCTTGTTTTAAATACTTTCGACCTATTGTATGATCATGACTCGATGCTTTAGCTTAAGACGTATCTGTAATATACTAAGAAAATACGTTTGTTTTTGCTTTCATAAATCTAACGAAGATTTTCATGTGATTGCAGAGACGGACACCGGTGATCAAGGTAAATAGGCCTTCTCCTTTTTAACTTTCTATATTAATTTTAGAACATCAACGTTTCAATTAATTGTTTTAAACGTTTAACTGTCAAGATTCAGCATTCCACATTGAAAACATTAGATTTTATCACATATCATTTATAATCTATTATCATCATACACAGTTTGTACAGCAAACAGTACGGTACCAACTCTCCAGACAATATAGTGTAGTATCATTGACTATGGTATTATATAGTCAATGGTAGTATCCACTCAAAGAAGACAGAATTATTTACTTTAACTACAGTATAACACCTCATATATTTTCCTCGCGCTATTTGGGATTGCCGGTCCTCTGTGTATCCGGCAACTTCTCAGAATTAAAAATTCAAATTACAGTATTTGACTACTCGCAAAGGAAAGACAAGAGCATTTAATTTTATATGACGGTCATTCTATTTCGAGGTTGTATTGTAATATAACAAAAACCCATCTACAGTAAATTTGTATTATATTGTGTAGGCCTAACTAATTTATCTGAGTAGGTAGCGTGTATGCTTTTGTAAAATGATAAAGATTAACGTACCCTGTTTGTCTTCAGTCCCATTAAGTATAGTCATGTAGGTAACTATCACGGCCACCTTTCACTACAGGCCTCGACCTGGTAGAATTGGCATCGTTGCAAGTGGAGTTGTCTAGCACCAGACAGACGTCCCATAAGAAAAGATGGCAGACAGGTGACACCAGCTCATTAATTCGCACTTTATTTATTTAAATTAAAATTTTTGAAGATAAATTTATTGAAATATTGAAAATAAAACATACAGAATTGAAAACAGCATCAATATGAATTAAAAATCTATATATCTGAACATTTTAAAGCGGAGTCAATAGAGTAAAGTATAAAGTAAGTATTGTCATAGTCCAGTAACCAATCTTTCGTAAATACACAAATACCATTAGCTGCTTCCAAACAAAACCGCTGTTACAACACCACTTGCGACGTTGCCATTTCGAAGGCCGCGGCCTGGAGTTAAAGGTGGCCGAGTAACTATACGACTTATTATCAAATCCGATAAGAGCGTTAATGGAATTTGGAATCCGACAAACTCCTGATCATTTATGCTTTTTCGTTATGCATTTCATTAACTACAGATTCTGTACCGTTGAATAAAAGTCATCAATTACATAAATATTGAATTGACATAGGGCCTACACAAGGATACATGATGAAACTCAAAGGTAACTTCGGTAGCGTATCTAAGAAGTTATTCATATACATTGAGAACTACCGCACTTCAAAGTAACTTCTAATGGCGTTACTAAAAACAGAGTTAAAGAAGTAATATTATTTTGGTTGAAGTTTATTGTTTCTTTCGCTATCGGATGGTTTCTGAGGCTCAAATTTTCAATTTGAATTAATATATTTTGGTTTTATGGTAGGTATATTTCGTTTTTGCAAAGATGAAAGCATAGTTTATTTTTTATTTAACAGATATCATACGGTTACCCGTAGCCACAAATGTTCAGAGTATCATGATAAGGCCTGGATCGATGACTTTAGAGAGATGGACCTCTGCTCCCATATTCATCAACATACCACCACCAACACAGTTCCAGCAACCTGTGTCTCCGGTTGGTGATAGACCTAGGAAAAGACTTTCCAGTCCTGGTAGAATAGACGTATCTCTCATAGACCAGATAAAAGAAGAGCTAAAAGAAACGGTGAGTCAATATTATTATGGGGTAATATTTTTTAAAGTGCCTACTATAAAACACAAGAACAAACCTCAATAGCTGGCCTACATTTTCTACTCTAACTGTTGGCTTAAATAATAAATGAATTACCTAATGATTTGTATTTGTATTATTCAAATAAGTAAAACTTTTTAAAATAATTACCTATACATTCTTTACAGAGTGGAACCATCGATAATTTAACGAATCATAAAGTCCATTCTCTTTTCCTGTTATCAATAAAAAACACTTAACAACAAATTTGACAGTGTAGAAAATTAATTGTAATGGACGCTTTTTAATCTCAGCTTGATATTTTGATTGCTTGTTTATGTCGGTAGTAGTTAAGTGAAAATGGTTGGGACTTAAGTCCCAAAATGAACAGTTGCCATTTTAATCATAATAGGCGTAATTTAATTATAATTTGATATTTTATTTTTAGGAGAGAGGCGACTGTGAACCTGAAGACGCTAAGAATGTTAAAAATGACAAGTAGAGTTTTGGTTTTAGTATGTAAAGTGAATAAATGCACTATTCATGAATATTTTATGTTTAATTTTGTTATTAAAGGTCTTCCTTTTCTAATTATTGTTTATTATTTTTGAATTGTAATTACGTAGTATAATGCACCCAGTGGTTTGGTTACTTCTATAAAATACTACTCAATAAAACCATAGATAACCCACTCTCTTATAAAAAATTACATTTAACCAGTACCATTAGACTAACTTTTTTGCATTACTGTACCTTACTTTACACTCCCGTGACGTTTAGAAAGCATACGTATGTCACTTGCCGTGAAGAAGCTAAGAAGCTATTCGCAATAGTCATCGCTGCTGTTAATGAAAGGTTAAATGTAAAAAAAAAATTGAATATTCAATTAGTACATACTTAAGCCTTGTAGTAATGAGCACTTTCCAAAATCGTTCAGCTAAAGTGTTTTACGTGATAAATGCATTGTAAACATTCATAATTGATCGAATAAGATACTGATCAAATTAAAAAATCTTCCTTAAAAATAATTCAAGAGTTAACTTGACCTTTGTATTGTTTCTATTGACGTCAATGGAAGTAGGCGTGGTTTATAGAGTGCGTGCGTGCAGGGTGCAGACGGAAAATCGGAAAATGTTTTGAACCTAGATGTCATTCCGTTCGTCCGTCAAATGTCAAGTGGGATGATAATAGTGGATATTTTCATTACATGATTTGATTAGTCTTACCAATTATACATTTGATTTCACTTTATCAAAGTAGTGATTTGTTTGACACCATGGCTGAGAAAACAACACCAGCACTCTTCATAACCGCAAATGTTGGGTCCATTTTTGAAGAGGTAAGTGTTTAGGCCTCTATTAATTAGTGAGCCTAGTTGTTGTTAAACAAAGCTAAATGACAAAGTAAAAGTAATTAAAACATGGACCAGACCTGTTTTTTTTTCAAACTTGTAGCCTATTGTGTCACTGTAATTTTAATGATTTATTCTTTCAACTAGAGGCTTTGGTTTGTCATTCTGTATTCTCACAATAATTGCTTGTTAAGTCAGAAAATGTTATGGTACAGGAACTTTAAAAATGTACCATAACCACGATAAGAAATAAATTTACATCATAGACAATCATACCAGAGGATTAGGTTTAAAGGTTTAACTTAATCTTTGACATGGAAGTGTGCATATTTATTTTCAATTACCCATAGCTTAATATAATGTTTCAAAATCTGTGAACTTTAGTTAACTGGGTCAGGAAAAATGTGTAAGTTAAGTTATGCCTTTTGAATTCTGGATCTTCCAATCAAAGGCTGCAATTTACTTTAGGTCCTACACTCATTCGAAGAAAATATCGAATATTCGATTGTTTCATTCGATATATCGTTTAGTTAGTTAGGTTAGGTTAACCTTACCTAACTAACCAAACGATATATCGAATGAAACGATCGATTAATCGATATATCGATCGATAGCCTATTTTAACTCTAATGAGTATGTAGGACCTAAAGAAAAGTGCAGCCCAATCAAATAATGTAGGCTAAGTTAATCTACTTTTGTGAACATTGAAAAGTAAAAAAATTCAATATTTTATTGATTGTCGTCATAGATTAAACATAGCTAAGTACTCCATCAAACATTTATCATCCTAATAACTTAGCTACACACCTAGATACACGAGGCAAGTAGGTGGGCAGGTTACCTGCCTCAGTTAACTTAAAATACTAACTGCTAGGCAGTGTTTTTAGGAAAAAGCATTAAGCTTGGATTAAATAAATAAATATAGGATGGAGAGGACACAGCTAACTCACCTGATGAAAGGTTGCAGACGAGTCAAAGAACACATATGTGTGTAATTTTATGTGTTCTTTGACTCGTCTGCAACCTTTCATCAGGTGGGTTAGCTGTGTCCTCTCCATCCTATATTTATTTATTTAACTGCTAGGCAGGTAACCTTCCTGCATATTGCCTCTGACAGTGTTCAGTCGTAAAACGACAAATGGTAACTTACTCTATTCACAGTAGGTACTTAAGTTATCTCAAATAAATTTTCCAATTAATTAAACAATACCCATAAGTCAATATAGCAAGTCGCTAACTTTAGTGGTCCTTTAGTAATCATAATAGGCCTAATCCTAATCAAAAGTTTGATCTTAAGCAAAGCAAGTTAACAATTTATGATGGTTAGAAACTGGACCTGGTCTTCAACAAATCTTTCATCTTTTAAATTTTACCACCAATGCTTCACTCATTATAACCTTAAAATATGCAATATTGTGTGTCAACATGGATCTTAATCATCACGCCTAATTAATCCAATATCTTCTTACTAATAGACTAAAAAATGTAGGTCTGTTAAAAATATTTTTAGAGGGGAAAAAGTTCTATTTAAAAAATTATATGGCATTCCACCTGGTTTTGATGATAAAGTTAATTTAATAATTATAATTAGATCTTAAGAAAAGTACCTACTGATTTAAGGGGAGTCGCTACTTAAAAATTGCCAATTTTGTAAAAAACATGATTTTTTTTATCTTGTTCTATGGATTTACAATCCATAGAACAAGATAAAAAAATCCTTACAGGTTTCAGAAAAACATAACATTTGGTATAATATATATTTTTATCACTGTGAAAAAAATATTTGAAGTGAAGCGTGCACACCTCTTTTGGGGCATCAACTAGGCCTAGCATAAACTTCAACCGCTGTTTTCCGCGATTTTAACCCTCCGAGTGTCCCTTGTTTTGGCCTTAATGTCTGCCTATTTTTTGCTCATTTGCAAGGTTTTATTAAAACGGATCTGAGAAGCTTGAAAACAATGTTAATTATACTGTTCTATATACCATTTTGTTTGGAAAATCATGGGCTTCAATATTATACATAGAACATAAGGAACTTTTGTTTCAAAAAAATTTTTTAGGTAAAAAAAATATTTTGGAAAATTTTCAAAAAAAAAATAAGATCGCGCTCAATGAAATTGTAAATTATAGGCCTATAAATATTTGAAAATAGCCACTTTGTTCTAAATTTTATGAGGATTACAAATATATAATAATATAAGGAAGTAGATTTGCAAATAAATAAGTTATGGGCAAAAAACAGATTTCAGTACATAGCGTTTAGCTAAGAATGCATAGCCTAACCATAGCTAGGAATCTGGCTGATAATTTACATCAATATCACTACAGTACCTACTTCTTCAGGATCATCAACCAGCTCTTCAAAATCACTTAAATCTTCTTATAATGCACCACGTGTATCACTAATTTTGATTTTTAACACTAAAACAATGATAAACGTAATAAAACACATCAGTCATCGGTCCGAGGATAACCAAGCTGTTTACAAATACGCACGTCAGCTGTCTGCTACAATATTTTTGGAACTAAAATGAATAGCGCTTAGAGACAGACCTCCAGAGAAAGCTCTGAATCTGTAAAATAAAACGATACCTAACTCGATCCAGTTCAATCCGATTTTGTCAGTCATAGAGCCTTCGCCATAAACAGTGATTGTGAGTCGCTGCAGCGACACAAAACACTACACAAAGTGTGTTATGTGTCGCTGCAGCGACAAATAACACTTGGAGGGTTAAAATTTAGTTTTTTTATATATAAGTTCTCATAACATTTTAACTATTACAGCTAGGCCTATATGAATGAAATTTTTACCACACATTGTTTATACTATAAATCAACTTTCTGTGCATGGATATTGTAATTGGGTAAATAAAAGTACATGAAAAAATTTATAAAAATTTATTACCTTTAAGTGTTTCTAAAACTTATTTTTGAAGCCATAACTTATAAACTTATTGAGAAAATAACATGAGTATGCACAGAAAGTTTGTGCTTTCTTTGCTCTTTAAAATGAGATATCAAACAATAAAATTGGTTCAGTAGTTAAATAGTTATAATAGATTTAAAAAACCCCATTTTCCCGCCAAAAACTTTAAAAACTCCAAAAAGTATGTAAAAAAAATTGTTTTTCTTACTTTAATAGCAGTAAATCTTTTTCTAACACTAAAAGAACTTAAAAAAGTATATATGATAATTTTTAAAAGGATTTCTTTTAAATCACTAGTTTCAGTAGCGACTCCCCAAATAGGTAGCATATGCTGTTTGTTGTTTGTAGATCCATACCAGGGTTTAAGCTCTGCGGTAGCAATTTTAGCATTTTGCTATAGCAAAATTAAAAATTCTACCCTATACTGTTTTTGCAAGCTATAGCAAATTTGGTACGAATAAAAATAAAGATGTAATGTCCAAACATGTAGGCCTAATTGTTATATACATAAGCTATATATTATATTTTACCATTGTAGGCCTATGTAAGACTACTCTGTAGGCCTATGTAAAACTACTCTAAGCTAAGCTCATGTGACTTCTTCTTGTTCACTAAGACTTCCGTGTCATCTCCATAATGTAGCTTTGTGCTCTGTAGTCTGTTGATTTTATTATCAAAATAAATCTTTTAAATTTACTTTGTGTAGTTATTATTTAGAAGCCCAAGAAGAACTAAGATGGTGTCAGAAGTTAACTATTTAGTTTGAACAGTGAAGTGTTTAGTAACAAGTGAATTTTCTTAGTGAATATTAGGTTAACCTCAAACCACGATGGCATTAGGCCTAATCCAGAACATGTTAGAGCTATTGTCGAAATGGAAAGACCCCAAAACAAGAAAGAATTGTTAAGATTTTTAGGTATGACTAAGTATTTGTCACAGTATATTCCTAACCTATCGACTTTGTCAGCACCTTTGCGCAACTTAACTAAAAATGATACTGATTGGCAATGGTACCCAGAACATGAGAAATCATTTTGTGAGTTAAAGAGTAAGTTAGTCTCTGCCCCAGCATTAGCTATTTTTAATAGTTCTAAACCAGTAACCCTTCAGGTTGACGCATCAAAAGATGGCCTCGGAGCATGCTTGCTTCAAAATGGTCACCCTATAGGCTTTGCATCAAGATCATTAACTGATACAGAGACCCGTTATGCTCAAATCGAGAAAGAATTACTTGCTATTGTCTTTGGCTTTGAACGTTTTCATCAGTTAACGTATGGTAGGCTAGTTACCGTACAGACTGATCACAAACCATTAGTTTCTATAGTTGAAAAAGATCTTTGTAAAGTGTCAGCTAGGTTACAACGTTTATTGTTAAGACTTTTGAAGTATCAGTTTAAACTCGTGTATGTACCTGGTAAATTGATGTTTATGGCCGATACATTGTCTCGGTCTTATTTGAAAGACCCTGTTACTGATGATCCAGAATTTTCTTTTGTTGTACATACTATTAGTAAATATGTGGCTATGTCTGAACAAAGGAAACAAGAATTTATTAAAGCCATTGATGAAGATGAAACTATGACTATGTTAAAAAAATATCACTTATTAGGTTGGCCCAAGTTCAAAAATGCGTGTCCTAAAAATGTACAGTTTTATTTCAATCTTAAACATGATATTAACTATGAAGGTGGTTTATTGTTTCTTAATGACAAAGTAATAGTGCCAACTAAACTTAGATTGAGTATGTTGAAGAAAATCCATGAAAGCCACCTAGGTGTAGAAAAGTGTAAAATTCTTGCCAGACAAGTGTTGTACTGGCCTAATATGTCTACAGATATAGAGGATTTTGTTCTAAAGTGTCAAACTTGTGAAAAGTTTAGGAGAAGTAATGTTAAGGAAAAGGAACCTATGTTAAGTCATCCTGTTCCATCAAGGCCATGGGAAAGAATAAGTGCTGATATCTTACAATTTGGTAATAATGATTATTTGGTTGTTGCAGACTCATACAGTAGATGGTTTGAATTGTGCTTGTTAAATGGTAAAACAGCAAAAAATGTAATAG